TTGTTGTTGATCTTGTGCAAATAGCAAACGTTCGCGATTAAATTTCTGTATGTTCAAGTTGAGTTTGGAATAAAATAACTGATTCCACGCGAACCTCGAAACTGTTCAGGGCATGATGAAAACTTTGGGATGGGCGGATCGTTGCAATCCTGTCGCTTTTACGGCTGTTTTATGGGTTGTTTTACACGGAATCCAAAATTGACGCCCGATGCGACGCGTGGTTAGTTTAAATTATATCATTTTTATGCTTCCAAACGAATCGGGTATTGTCAATTCGGAAAGTACATTTGCGACGAAACTTTTTTTTTACTGCTAACTTGGTTTTTCGGACTATAACACAAACTACAGCGCAACGACTACTCAAAGGTCAACGAATGTATCTGTTCTTTTTTTTTTGTTCGACCTTTTTTTGTTTCTCGTATTTACAGTAAAAACCATTGATTTCCATAAAAAAAGTTACAAGCGGACAAGTTGGCGGGAAATAAAAGAACGCGCGCCCCGAATGAAAGGTCAACTTTTCGTTTCGGGGTTTTTTTTTTCATCGGTGCAGCAGGAAATTCGACTTTATGTTAATCGAGTTTTGCCCGCAAGCACGCAAAAAGCCGCAGAGTCGGGCCGGGCAGTGGGGGTGAAATTTCTCGAAAGTAATTAAAAACGAGCAAAGTCATTCGGTATAAACGAACGACGCATATAATATATATGCAGCAGCCCCGCTGCGCGTTGCAGTTAAATCAAATGACTCGTAATGCTCGTAATTTAGAGCTTAACCGAAATTTCGTTCGAGTATATATTTATTATACTTAATAAAATTCGAGCCGTCGAGAGTCCAAAGGCACAATGCAAAGAGCGCATCCGCTGCGACATTTTCATGCTCATATTTTTTGCGATTTATATCGCTGCTGGAGCATAAGCTCGTCGTATCGTCTTCCGCCACAGTGAATTCCTTAATAAACTCGACTTTAATATCTCTTTCTCTCGTGCTCTGCGAACTATGCGGATCGTAACCAGCTCCACCACCGCGTTTATTACACTGCTGTGTGCTCTCGTACTTAGGATTTAAAATTTGTTGTTTCGGACGTTGCCGTTGTTTTGCGACGGGAACAATGATTACAATGACATTGTACCGTTGTCAGCGAGCTTACGTTCGCCCTGATATTTAATGAATCGATCGAGCAGATCCATCACAACGATATATTACGGTATGCTTCAACGCGTTGGGCCGCATAATTAATACATTCTTAATTGATCTCGACACGAACAGATCGCCGCGTATCGCATGTATGTGCCGCAATGTAATGACAGAATCGGAAACAATACCCAAGAGCATGTAACCAACGCACGCAGCTGCACATGTAACATTGAAATTTTCGACACCAGTTCTCAGCGAGTTATCGGGATACGATGAATTAAAAATCTGTTAATAACGGGTCGGTTTGGTAAAATATGATGTAGAAAATTTCACAACAAAGCTCCTGACAATCTTTGCAGCCTGCGATGCTGATCTTACAGCATAGTAATCTATCGCTGATCTTGCTAATGCATTGGCCGGGGAAACCTTCTCTATTCTTAAGCTTCAAAGCTCTGTAAGCTACATAATATATCGACGTATTTTTCCTCATATTTATTTCATCGCAAAATCTTTTCTCGTTCGCTTTGATTTTTATATACGAAAACGTCGAGGACTTTTCATTAGCGCGATTTTACGTCGATAAAAATTAGATTACTTGGTAAGTCACGGCTGCGATTTGTCTCGGTAAATTGCAAAAGGTAAATTATTTAAGCCACGGCTGTAATATTTCACACTCGTAACGCAGGCATAACGATTTCATCTTCTTTCTTTACGGTAAAGCTCGTATGTGATGTGGTCCGAGCGGCTCGAGGCTTGTGCACCGTACATCCGAAAAGTCGTATTCCACCGAAGCACGTGATGTTCCCTGCAGCCCAGAGAGAGAGAGAGAGAGAGAGACACACACACACGCGCGCACACGAAAAAGGAAGAAGACTGCTCCATTTTAGTCTCCTTCTCTTGCTGCTACTGGTACAACCACTACTATGCGTACTGGTACTGTTAGCTACGTGACTTGGGCACGGGTTGCTCTCTTTCGTCTCGCCCTTGCAGCAAGCCCATGTGTATATAGGTATATATACCGGACGGTCACACACGTAGAGCAGAGAAGAGCAGAGAGACGAGTCGAGTCGAGTCGAGTCTCTCTCTCTCTCTCTCTTTCGTGAGCTTTTGCCATGCATGTGGAACGTGGCCTGGATTTGTTATCATTCTCCGCGCTCGTGTGCCTGGGCTGTACGTACCGACGCTATAAAAGATAGAGAAGGAGCGAGAGCCGCGCCGAGCATAATATAACAAAACATATGCGCTAGCTCATATACGCCAGCGAGATGAGAGCGAGCGAGCGAGCGAGAGAGAAATATAAACTTCTCCCTTTTTTTTCGCGACGTTACAAAAATTTGTACCTAATCTCGTTTAAATGTGTATTTTCATACGATGATGACGACGGCAGCAGCGGCAGCAGCGAAAAATGCCAAGTAATTTTTTTTTCGCTTGATCTATCAAACTCACACCTTGGCTCTTGCTTAACGTCGTGGGGCTGCAAATAAAAAAAAAAAAAAGAAAAAAAGGTAACGTTATTCCGTGTGTGTGCGTCCGCACGCTCGGTTAAAAATGCCAAGCGAAGAATGACTATTATTTTCTTCTTTTTTCTCCTCCTCTTTTTTTTGTTGTTGCTGTCCCGTGCGTAGCTTTTTCCAAGCGCAAAGAGATTCGGAGTGACAAGTGTTTAATTAAAATACGCTCAATTGGCGCTTTTCGCAAAGAAACGCGTACGCAGCATGAAATCGCGTGCGCTGCGAGAAAAGCCAGTAATTTTACTCGTTCGTTGGGAGCTTTGACGTCTTCTTTTGCTTTGTTGGCTCAAGTTTTTAATTTCCAATTTGTATCGTGTATATACTTCAAAGTTCATTTCTTTCGCTAACTTTTGTATCGATCGAATTCTCGACGCTTGCAAATGATACTTGTTCGATTTGCGTTCTCAACGAAGCGAATAACTTGCATATTCAGCTCGACGCGCGTTGATTATATTTGCAGCGACAATCACAAGGTAAATGTACCAATTTGTATGTCATAAGGTCCAAGTTGACGAAGAAAGAGAAACAAGGACGAAGGTGTAACGACGAAACGAGAAGCGACAAGTTAAATTGAGTAATGGCACGACGATCGATCATAATCCAAGCATCGTAACGGCGGAGTCGCGCGATACACATATTCCGATACGCTGCAGCAGCGACAGCATTACAATACCTGCGGCGCCCGCCTGGCAGTGACGAATATCTCGAAAAATTGTACCACGGCGAGAAAAGCGGAAGCAATACTTGTACCTGCGTACACCGTGTGCATAAATCCAGGCGCGCGTACTAACAAGCTGCAGCGCACAGGCGTCTGGTGCAACGCGGTCCACAAGTAGCCGCTGCCGAAACGTATATTCGTGTGTGCGTGCGTACGTTACAGTCGGAGCAAGCTCGAGCTTTTTAAAACCACTCATGCATCACAATTTGGTCCGAGGTTAGCGGTGCCGCCGCTTCAAAACTGCCGTGACTGTGGCGCGGGAAAATTGTCGGGCGCTCGGAAAAGCCGCAGCGCAGGTTCGCGGCGCGCTCGGCCTCGCTCGGCTCCTGCAGAGCTGCCAGCATGCATCGTGGTGCATTTGGAGGAGACCACGCGCGACAAAACTCCCTCCTGCCCTCGCTCTCCCTGCGCGCCAACTCGAAAATGCTGCAAAATCGCAAATTTCGTCCGTTAGCCCGGGCCATATTCCATAAATCTGTCTCCACTCGTTCATTTTCGTCGCACGGCAGTGTTATATATATATGCTGCACTCTGCACCCCATCGGCGTTATGGTCAGCGCAGCAGCAGCAGCCAAGCAGCATCGGTACACATACACACACGCGTGCGCCGCATATACCTGTCATACAGGGAGGCGCGAGAGCGAAGTTCGATATTATACGCGGCGCTAAGCTGATTTTATGTGGACTATAGTGACGCGAGCGATGTGCCTTTCTCGCTCGCGCGTGTCCAAGTGCACCGCGCCGCGCATTATATGTTATATATACGCTCGCTGCAGTTAAATCAGAATTCACGCGATGGCCTCTTTGTTTGCTTGCCAAAAATTCATACGCGAGGTGCATGTGCTTCTATCTGTACACGTTATAACCCTCCGGGACTCGCAGTCGACGCGCGAGGTCTGTATTAATATGTTTATTGGAAACGTCTTTCGCAATATCGAGTTATAAATAATCTTTATACATTTATACGTACGTACTATGATAAAATTTGCGGATACGTATGAAAAAGCTCGAAACGATCGAAGTACGTATACAATATGTGTCTCGCGAGCTTCGTAATGAAAGATTAAACTATATAGAGGGGTCGAGCGGGGCGATGCGCGCGTGTGCAGCCGAAGCTTCGCTGTAGATTAACAGACGAACAAAGGGACGAGCTAGCGATTATAATCCTCGATCATCGGGTAATTTTTTCCCCTTTTTTTTCCTTTTTTTTCTTTTTTTTTAGTTCCGCCTTTGGAATATATCCATGGGCGAACGCGTCTGATACACATAGCCGAGTGGTACGCATGACGGAGCAGCAGCCGCGCGGCGCTCCGCGTTTATAGCGCCCGCGTTAGCAGATTATCGAGTCTGATAGGATTATCTTGGCCTGCGCGAGAGATTAGGATCTGATGAGCGAGAGGAGAGTAGGAGGAGGAGGACAGCTTTGGAGGGGGGGTGAGAGTTAGCTTACAAACGACCCTTCACCTCTCCGAGCTAGCTGCCGCTCGAATTTATAGTATAATCGGCGTATTATACGTCTATAGATAGACCGTTGCGTCTGTCTGAGTCTGGGGGAGGGGGAGGGGGGGGGCTTTAAATGCGTATACGTGTGCAGTTGGCTGCACGTGATTCGACCAGCGCCGCACTATAGAGCGTCCACAAGATGCCGACGCGGCCGCTGATCGACGCCCGAACTTTGTGCATGGAGATGACGTTCCTGACGCCGCCACCACCACCACCACCAAGAACGCCAGACAGAGAGAAAGAGAAAGAGGAGCAACACACGACTCGTCGGTTATTACACTCGAGAGTGTCGTTGGCAAAATTGCTAACTTGCGTGCGACAGAAGTTGGATCTCAATTCCAATTACGGGCGTGCGCACCCCACACGACCCCCCTCCTCTCCTTGTGCTCCTCCTCGTGCTCCTCTTTCTCTACTCTTCTCTTTGCTGCTGCTGCTGCTGCGGAACAGCAAGACCAAAGCCTGCCTCGCGCGAGCTCCATGGAATTTCTGGCTTGCACATACTCACATACACACACACACACACACACACATGAGGTCAGATATGAGAAAAGTTTAAATTATTCCTTCGAGGAAATGTACGCCTCCGAGGCAGGTACGTATTATAATCGTAATCGGATTTCGAGTTATAAGCTTTGTGCTGCGAACTTGTACGCGCGACGACGCAAACAACGAAAAAAAGAAGGAGCTGGAAAAAATCGATTGCTTTTCAGGATTGCCGAGAGTGCTAATCGCAATTAGTGTACGGCGTTACAAGTGCTCTCTCTCTCTCGTGCGGCGGCGGTGTAAAATGAGAAATATCTTGCATAGGATACGCCACGCGTACAGTGACCAGATTAAGTTGTATGAATACAAATCGCATTATTATAGCCCCAAAAGTATCGCGCGTATATGGAGATATGCGTCCGGCCGTGGCGACGCTCTATAGTGTACAGAGCCTCGTCGTGGGTGTGCGTCGACAAGCTCCACTACGGCATATAGGTACGTTGGAGTCGAGTTTGACGAGGGATTTCGCAGATGCTGCCTGTTCATATGCACGAGGCAGCGAAATGAATAACGCGACAATTTGATTCCCAGAGTGCGCTTTATATTGCGAGTTCGTCGGTGTCGAAATGTCCATGCTCTTTTCGTTTTTTTTTTCGTAGTTTTTTTCCCCGGTTCTCTCCTGTGACAGCGTATTTATACACGCGAGCATTTCGTGCACAACGCCGTCTAGAAGATTAAAAACGAATTTGAATACGCTCGTGAATGAACGAATCATTGTGCGAATGCATGTACGTAGAGTTGCAACGCGTTTCGAGCGCAAATTTCTTTGAATTATAAGAGCGGGAGAATCGTTGGGAATTATACTCGAAATGTACCGCATACTTGTCTGTACAAGTGCGTGCGTTCACTTGTTTTGTTAATTACTCGAAAATAGCTTTCTGAATCGAACGATACGCGCTTGAAATTTCTGCTCGATTCTTTTACAAATCGTTTTATGTGCTCATTGCGCTTATATTCGAGCTCCATAATATCGCGTATTCCTTGCTTACGTGCGATCGGTCAACATGCGAAAAAAAGTACGGTGTTTTTTTCAACCGCACAGCTGTGATTTAGCATGTTTTTGCAGCTGTGCCGCCAGCTTAAACGGTTACACATTTTCGAGCGCGCGCACTTGCTCGAAAAAGCGTATAGCTTATTCGTGAGATCAGAAAAATGAATATAGTGCAGTTCGGGACTAGGGTTTTATGTCGGACGCGCCGTAAATTTTCTGCATTACGCTATTATGCGCTACGGTCTCCAATGATGCGTGAACTTTAATATTGAAATATGTATGGTTGTGAACGAAAAAAAAGAGGTTTGAAATAACATTACTTCCTTTGCGCGCAGTGGTGACTCTATGTTTCATCGATCGAAGTGAGAAAAAAATATTCAATGTGGCTGCTCTCTTTCAAAAATGAATTACGAAACCGTGTTTTTTTTCTTTACTCGCGAATGAAAATCGAATTTCTTGTTGCAACATTATATTTTTGTTTCAAATTATGTCAGCCACAAGATGAAAATTTTGTGAGCATTATTTATTTTTCTTTTATTTGACAAAAACTAGCCCTATTCAATATGCCTCGCATGACTGAAGCTAACTCGCCGTTCGGAAATTCATAACAATTTAACCGCTGATGGATTTGTTACTGACTGAATATAATGATGTACATTGTTTAAATTTATTCAATAGCCTCGCGTGAAAGTTTGAAATTTAATAAAACTTGAGTAACACAGGATTGATGCAACTAATGTATACTCTTACAAAACGTCTAATTATGAGAATTTTATCAATATTTCTGTTCATGAATTGAGCTATTAATTTTATAAACATTTTTTAAATAAATTATAACAATAAGTTTTCATATTTTTGGAATAGCGATAATTTTGTCTCATTTTAATCAATTGGTTTGTTTTTAACAATTCGAATTTTTCGTAATGCTCAATTATAGTTAAGGATTTTTCATCAAGAAATTTTATAAATGGGTTAAAAGAATTTTCATACTTATTTATGTGGGACTTAAATTTTTATTGAAGAGAAAACTTGAAACCAAAAAGAATTTAAATTGAATTAAAAAGTTTCTCTTACATATTTACAAACTCTAATGTGAAAAAATTTTTCTGCGGGCTTTTCATCTTGCATTTGTTACAATTAGCTTTTTCGTGCATTTTTCGAGCAACATGCTCTTAGTGGAGGCTTCTTTCCATCCAAAAAAGTTTAATAAATTACTTCACTTTCAAAAATTTGCAAATAATTTTCTTAATTACTTTTACAAATCATATGTGTATACCTAAATTAAAAATTATTCGTATAATTTCTTCGATCCTCACAAAAATTTCGCGAGCGACGTTCACTGTTTAAAATTTTAAATTAAAAAATTCCTTAAAAATACTAAATTTATAACATGAAATTTTTGAACAAAAGGGCCATTATAAAAGCTAATAATTCATTGAAAAACATTACATTGCATAAAAGAGGCTCACAGTAACTCATTATGCTTCATATAGCATATTTCTGCACAGTATTGCATATTTTTAGATTCATATTTTGTTTCATGAGATAATGAAATAGATTTCTAAAATATGCATCATCACAAGTTTGAGAAATTATTGTTTTTAATAAAAATAAGTTGTTATCTCGGATTAATATTCTCATACGTTTATCGTACAAAGTTTTATAGGCACCAAAATCTTTCCTCTAACTTTGGTAGATATTAAATGTAGCTACATCTTAATTGTAAACTTCAAATACTTGACCTCATTATCAAACTTGATGAAATCACTTGCAAAATCAAGAGTATTACCTTATATTACCGACATCATATTACAAAACTTATTTTTTTATTGGACACAATTTTCCTTCCCTAAAAGTATGAGTCCTCTCGAGCTTTTTTAAAGTTCCTGTCCTTCAAATGAGTAACTCAGTTATTAAGTAATCTTTGCCTTGGTTCAACAATTCTGCTTTAAAATCTTGGTTTAATTATGATGTAATGAAAACGAGCGTTTTGCTGCAAATTTGAGACTCTTGAAAGTCAATATGAATGTTCTAGGTAGATATTTTCCTAGAAATGTAACAATCTTAATAAAGTTTAATATTCAAATAGCTCTTATTCGTCGAAGAAAATAATATTCGATAAAATCAAAAATTCTATGAAAAAATTATATTTTTCTTATTCGAATAAATATAAGGAAAAAAATTATTCAATGATATTACTGCGTATTCACTTCGTTGACTTTCACCTTATTCGCTTTATTAAAAAATATGGAACAGAACAAGAATGCCAATAACACGAACGTTAAGGACTGCACTATGAATAAAATGTCAATTACCCGTTTAATACATTCATCTGATATTGGTTATTTTTTAAGTTCAACTAACGAGACACATAATTGAGCTTGAATTGTTATAGTCTCCAAAATATGGTCGCGATACATAATCAATAAAAAATACTACTTACAGATTTTTTATTGCTTTTATAATGTTTTGTATTTCATCGCGAAACAATCGTGAATAAATGCCAAATTCAATTTTTCAATATTAAAAAGAAATTTAATATCAATTTTTCGAGCTTTCAAAGCGATGCCGAATAAAATGTAAGTTGGCCTAGGCAAGCTCGAAGTGAGAATTCAATAATTCGAGGGGAAAAGGTATGGAATACTCAGACAGATATCCTTGATTAATAATCCCTTCTCAATTTGAGAAAATAAGCATTAAGCTATAGAGAACAGAACTGCTTATTTAATTATTTAGCTTTGAGCGAAAGTATCCTCCTTTTTCTCCTTCTCGTCTTTTAATTAACTTTCCTGCACTCTTCTGCTGCCTCTTCTTCTCTCTCTCTCTTTCTCTCTCGGCTCTGGATCTCTTTCAACAAGTCCACGCGCGCGCGCCAGTGTTTTATTTGGGCTATGTATCAACTGCATAGCTCGTCGAGAAGTTTCCTTATTTCTACGGCAGTTGGAAAAAAGCTCATTTTCATCAATTAAAAGCTATATAAAGGTGTAGAATGAATAAACTGCGAGAGTAAATTCTCTCCTTTCTCTCTCCCTTTTCTCGTATTCTTTTTTTTTATTAGAGCATTTGTAGCATTGATGAAAATGCCGAGAAATGAATGGTTTATTATAACGTTACTCGTGTCGCGTTGAGCTACTTTCTAGTTTTTCAGGAAATGAGTATGAACAAGCTTGTTTGTCACCGCGAGACTGCTCGAGAGGGAGGGAGAGAGACGGAGTGCGCAGGCAGTTGACACTGCAAACAGGTACACACGCGCGCGCATTAAAGTTTATTTAAATTATTGCACTTTCGCCTTCCTTATTGAAAGTTTACAAACTTATCTTCTCGGGCTCCATTCTTCGCGCATAGCAAACTTGTAAGCTTGTCAATAATACTTGTTGCTCGGGCTCGCACGCTACTAACCTTCGGCGCAGGGCGCTGAAAGTTCCAAATGACGTTTGGAGTACATTTTCGCAATGCGGAAGCAATAGCTCGACACGCATGCATCAAGCCCGAAGCTTACATTTCATTCCTCGGAGCAGATAATCTTACTCGTGTATACAGGATATAATGTGTAACGAGCTCGAACGTAGCAGCAGTTGGAGGGGCACGAATAAAATTTAACACAAGAGATAATCACTTTATTTTGTCGAGTTTTCGAAAATTTTCGATTTAATTTACCCTCCAATGTTCTCTCTTGTTTTCTCTCTTTCTGTTACATAGCTACACGAGCCTGTGTGCGCTGTACGCACTCCGCCAGTTAGCTCATTAAGCCAAGTAAGCTGATATTCAGTCGTTTTTAATGAAACGGAATTTTCTTGTTTTCCATTCTCCTCATTACATACATGAAAATGTTTAAAAGTGGAACGCGAAAAACAACTCGGCGCTCGCGCTTACGGAAAATAACTTTTGTACTTTGTGCGCGCGTGTGCGTGCGTATATAGAGTTGCTCGCGTTGACCTAGCTACGTCACGTTAAGCTTTTTGAGCTTTCGCGCAGCGCAACGTATTTTTCGGAAATTCGTCAGCAATTTTGAGATGGAAGCAACGCGCACAAATGACTAATGGAAATTGAAGAGTCGAATTTCTTGGTTGCGGGACAATATTCGGCTGCACGGGACGCTACCACGTGCGCGTGATTTGATTCGCCCGGAGCGAGTCACGCCGAGGAAAAATAATTAAAAAGTGGCCACGATTGCATTGCCAATGGTTGCGCATGTATAGCGAGATGTACGCGCATACGGTTCGAAGATAGAGGTAAGCGAGCGAAAGGAGCTGCAAAGCGTCGTTTCGTATTCATGGCGCGGCAACTTTTGCCGCGGCCGCAAGTCGGCCACTATTAGATTTCGATCTCGGGGCCGGGCGCGCGCGCGCGCGCGGGCTGTGCACTAACTAAATTTTGACGAGCTGAAACACGAAATGGAGGACGGCCGCGCGCAGCAGCAGCAGTGGCTTCGTAAATTACTCGTCGACTGTTTGGCCGCGTTGGCCTCTGTACTGTACGCGCGCGCGTGGCTCGCTCGAGTCAATATACACCGTCATTCGTGTATGTGTGATTTTATGCTCAGACTGAGGCAAACAAGCGCTAGTATTTGTGTCGGGCAAACTCGGTCGATTCGGTGGTTTTTTTTCTCCGCCTGCGAGCTCTTGGCATATTAGCCTAAGAAGCTGGCCAAAGTTGGAATATCAATTCAGCGTCGTACGTCATACTTTGATCTTTCGCACGTCAAACTTGCGCTACTCCACTGAAGTAAAGGTAGGCCAGCTCTGCGGGTTTAAATTTACCTCCTTCTCACACTCCTCCCGCTCGTCGACGTCGTCGGGCGAGAGATCGATCTCTGTTTGGACTTGGGCCGCTGCGTCGTATGATACTCGGAACCGCGCGCGTTCATATGGAAAATCAATCAAGCACTATAAACATACCCACGTTATAGTGCACGGCTCAGACTCGGCTCGCGCGACGCGTTACACGGACCCCCGCATGCATACAGCGGTTAGATTGGAAAGCGAAGGAAATACATCGAGCTTCGCACGAGTTAGCCATAGTACAGCGCGAGGCTGTAGTAGTGGGTAGGTAGAGGTATAGGGCGAGGCACAAGGATCTATTGACTAAATGGAGTCTCGCTAATGGAAGCTCGACCGTAGTAGTACGCCGCTACCGAGCTTTCGCGCTCGCCTGTATATGGCTGTTGTGGTCGTGCGGCAAACTCCGGCCTGCCAGCTCTCCCCCTAATGGCACACAGGCTGCGCTTGCGAACTCGCTGGGATGCAGCGTACACACGCACACACACACACACACACACACAACTCATCCCACCTGACTCACAATTATTTCCTCTTTTCTGCCATGTTTGCAAGCTCGTACATATATGCATGCGTTAGTCTCTACGAGCATGGCCCAATGCTGTATAGTGGCATCGTTGAGAGGAGCAGCGATGACGATAATAATGACGTTGATGACGCAGTCATTACTCATTATAACTCGATAGGGTCGGTCTAATAATTTTCATCGTGCCGTCCATGCTGTTTTATCGATTTTGCGCGAAATTCGATTTTGCGAAATTGCAAAACAATTTTAAAATAATTGCGAGAAAAACAATTACGGCGTGTTCGCGTGGAGAAGCACATACAACTAATGTACTTTTTTTCTCTCTCTGCTGTTACAGACTCGTCGAACGAGACGACAGCGACGACGACGACGACGACGACGACGTTAACGTCGAAAAGGCAGCAGCTCTATCCCACAGCAGCTTGGACGATATCGACTAGTCCAGCAGCTAAATTACCAGAGGAAAATGCCGAGAAACAGGAGCGGCAGAGTCAGCCGACGGCGGCAGCATTGTTCGTCGGCGACGACGACGATATCTTGTGGAACGCAGACTCGGAGGACAATTTTTCCTCGTCGTCGAGCCCGTCCAAGCACAGCATATCCCTGTCTCTGCTGCAGAACAGCCAGCCGCCCATTGAACTTATAGTCAAGCCACGGAGTAAGGTCGTGCTGCCCTGCGAGCTCGAGGGCAATTACACGAGTCTTCTCATGCTCGCCATCACGTAAGCTTCTTCTTCTTTTGTTTCTTCTCTTTCTTCTCTCTATTTTTTGCCATGTACCGTGCTTCTGGTGAGAGATAACCGATGACTCGGAGCATCGTGGCAGCTGTATATTCTGCAAAAAAAAAGAAAAAAAAAATTAAATAAAAAAACTGAACGCGCGCGCGCAATGTCGTTCCGCAGGAGTTACAGAATCCGACCGGCCAGTTGGTTGCACGGCGGAGTGCCTGTGGACATGATAACGATCGACACGAGGACGGAGATGAGCGGCACAGGGCACAGATACATCGGCGACTCGTCCACGGCGGCGCTGCACATAGACAACGTACGCCTCGAGGACGACGGCGTATGGAAGTGCCAGATCGAGGACGACCGGGGCAGACTGATCATCGGCAAGCCCGTGAAGCTCATCGTTCTGGGTGAGTAACGAGCTCTCGTCTCGAATGGATGTACATATATGCGCGTATAATCCAATTAAGCTGCGTCATTACTTCACGTCGATGTTGTTAGCTTATACGTCAGAAGTTGGCTGCGGTATATATAACTGTATAGAACAAAAAAGCTCGACTAGAGATTATGCCGTCCGAAGAGTAAAATTCTCCATTTCTCAAAAAACACATATATTTTCCACATCGTTTACTCGGCTGACGTGACATCAGTCCGGGTCACACGTAAGCGCACCAAACACACATACACATAGAGTAAAGAGAGAACATTTTGCCTTTGAAGAAAAATCAGCTTTGCGAAAGGATCGCGCGTTATCGTATGTAGCTCTCTCTATCTATATATATACGTATCTATAGAGCTGCGCTGCTCGTGCGAGTCGGTCGATGTCGCATTACTACATCGTTTCTCGTTCGAGTTGTGCAAGTTTAGCAAGCCGTGCTATTGGCAATCCTCGGGCTTTTCATCAGGCTCGCATTAGAGGATCGGAGGAAGATAGACGCGCGTAGACGCGCCAACACGTAAAACGTACCTACTATATCTGTATATGCTATACATATAGCTGTGCTCGTGCTCTGCGTGTGTACGCGCGAAGCTTACCCTAGTGTAAACCACCGAGCGTGGTTTTCCCATATATTTTGTGGCTCTCCCTCGCTAGCTTTGCTCGCGTGTGTATAGTTGCGCGCAGCAGCCCCTATAATAGCTGTCGCTAAATGCGCCCTCTTATACCAGATATAGCATGCGCGATATAGTATAAACTGTACCCGCAGCGTGTAACTCGTGCGTATGGATATGCCGCTACGTCGAGTCGAGAGAGAAGTTGGTAAACACGTATTTCGAAGCCGATCTCCGGTCGAGTATCGCGCTTCTATGATTTTTGTTTTCATTTTTGATGATATCCTCGCGCGCAATCGACCTCTCTCGTCAAAGCCGAGATCGTCAAAGCAAGCGATTATCCGCAAGTTCATAATACAGGAGGACGCTGCCGCAAGCTCTGCGTACGAGCATAAATGGAATCGAGCTTTACAGGCGTACTCCCTAAGCGAAACCCCGTTGAATTCGTTTCATCTTTCATTACGTACATGTGTGTTGGTGTGTGTGTGTGTGTGAGTGAGTGTGTATATTTTTGTGACTTGTGTGCTTCGAAGGCACTGAAATACGAAAAAAAGGCCTCGAGGAAGAAGGATAAATTTGACGTGGATGCATCGTGTAATTGTGACCGCGCTCCGATCGCGATAATAACAAACGATCATCGCACGACGAAGCCAATTGACAATCAAACGATAAATTTTATTAGATCCTCGTATACATTACGCTTGTGGATGTATAACCTGCGCTTGTATACGTATGTACGTGGGAGCCATGCTCTGTGCGTAGCACACTGCTACGGGGAATGTATACGCATAAATTGCAGGTACTCCGTCTACGTATGTATGTATGTACGCGCGCCTGTGTGTGTGTGTGTGTGCGTGTATGTACGAGATGTAGAACTCGGGCTCGCATAGCACAAGTGTGTGCAGGTGGCACAAATTAGCTTGTCACAAAGTCCTTGATTGCGAATGCTGCTGTTGTTGCGCCCAGGCCGCCGTTGCCTCGATGCATCGTTGCCGACGCTACTGCTCAACACATCCATCAGATGTACTTACACCGATGCTCCCAAGTACACTAGGCACGTGCAAGCAGACCTCGTACCTATAGACACACACACACACACATACACACATCTATTACCTATGTACCTATACCAATGCGTGGCCGGCCCAGGGGGTGGCTGGGACGCAGCTCTAACGTACGACTATAGCTAATAATAGAGTGGGTATATATCCTGATCACCGCCGCACAACTATCCGCACTTATTGATCAGTTATGTCAAGGGGGAATTTAGTCTGTGATTAAAGGGACAGTTGACGCAGCCGTCCGTGCCTACGATGCTTATATACATTTGCTTATGTATGTATATACCATGTATGTATATTAGCCAAAATGCGATAAATTCAATCTTCATGAATCGTGTCTTATACAAGCATTTTGATTTACCACTTTTAGATTTACAGATAAAGGTACTCGCCATCTATCGGTGAAGACTGGCTTTAAGGATGATTGAGTATTCATAAATTTTTTCTTAAATTGTCTCAACAACTAAATCAGTATTAAAACATTATACAAATTACACATTTCGACCACATTAAATTCAAATGTTTAATTTTAAGAATAAAGTTAAATCCTTTTGGTTCATTTTTGGATTAAAAATAATGAATATATGATTGCATTTCTTGTAATTTCGAGCGCCAAAAGTAAAAAAAGGTAGTTTCTTAAAATTTACTGGAGTAAAATCTATTATTGAAGTATGCCGATGTCACTATAAAAGTAATAGTTTTTTCTCAGATAATTTTCTCAGTGCATCTTACAAAAAATAGATTGACTTTCAAATTTTTTGATTTCTACATCACTACAAAAGAAAAAGAATTTTTTTTATAATTCTGCATCTTCCTTGTAACTTAAATATAAATGTAGCAGAACCTTCGATTAGGCAATTTTCTTACGCAATCGCTCAATTTGTCGCACCGATCATCGATTTTTAATTTCGTCGCGAACGTAACGTGCGGTTATATGTATATGAGTCGGTTACACGGATTATGGCAGGAGAAAACGAAGATGATCATTACGCAACGCGCGCGATCGGATCGATATAGGCGAACAGAGGGACTGGATGAGAGGGAACTGGCCATAGAGGTTTGCAATCATCGAGCGTGCAAATTCATAACTAGCCGTCTTGCGGCTCTTCCATCTCTATTTCTCTCTCTCTCTCGACAAATTCTTGCGGAGTCTGCGAGTTCAATTTCACGAAAATCACAGTTTTGGAGTCGAGGGCAGGCGGCAGGCACAGCGGCGGTGACGACGACGACGACGACGACGACGACGGTGGCATTTCTCGCTTATATTGCAGCGTCGGCGCGCAGGTATGATGGTGGTTTCCCCGAGCAGTAGCATCAGCAGCCCGTTACCAACGCTCTTTGAGTCACGGGGAATTTCTGCCTCTTGTATATTATATACTCCGCCAGGAGGCTTCCGTCTAATTTGTCTTGTTCTCTCTTCTTGCTGTCTGGTTAAGTGAGTGTGTGTGTGTGTGTGTGTGGGCGCATGCAACGTATCTATATGCACATAGGTATCGCACAAACTTTCGGAGCAAGAAGTGATTCCGAGCTTATACAACTATATAACACGCCGGGGGGTGAGGGGGGGAATGGGAAAGTCCGTGCGCCTACGAGACATTCCCTCTTCCGAGGAACTATTGCATCGACGAGCACCTTGTGTGTTTACCCGAGGATAGAATGAATCTCTTTCTGCCTTGTTATATATACAGCATATATGTAATACGTATACGAGAGAGGGTCTATACATAGATATATTTATATACATGGTATAAAGCAGACAAGCCGTCGTGTATATACCGTGAAACCAATAAAGCTCTTCGTGCTATCCGCAAGCACGAACTTCGGTGGATATTATCCATCAGTTTCAATGAACTTGATACAGTCGGCATTGCAGTGGCGTTGGCTGCGGCGATCGTCCGACCCAGAGCCACGCGTATATACCTACCCCGAGCTTTAAGGGGGACGCGTACCGCGTCGTTGAGAGCCAGAGACAATTTCATAGTCCGTCGAATCATCAAATACGACGATGGACGATCTCGACTTTTTAAATTTCAATCTCGTCGAGCGTCGAGTCTCTGGCACAAAATGACGGCGATCGTCAGGATTTTTAATCTTTTTTCCCTTCATTAGAAATAGCTCGTGACAACTGTTGGGGATTCGCAATTTTATAAAACCATCTTTTGCTATTTGTTTTTAAATTTATCATTCTTATGCTTTTACAATTTCAAGGCACGAGATAGAAAGTAAGAAATGTAATTACTTTGTTTTTGCAGAGGCCCCACGAGGTACGTACCTGCTGATAGACGGGCGTCGGCTCGACCCGGGCAACCAGTTCATCCCGGTGAAGGAGGGCTCGGATCTGCGTCTCGAGTGCGCCGTCGAGGGCGGCAATCCGGCGCCGATCCTCGCCTGGAACATGCAGCTGTCGCAGGCGACCCTCGAGAATCCCGAGCCGTTGCCGGACAATCTGACGATCGACGCCAACACTTCGCTCACCAGCACCTCGGCCAGTCTCAAGGTGTTGCGGGGCCATCACAACGCCACCATCGTCTGCGTCGCCCGCCACCTCACCCTCACCGTGCCCATGACCGCCAGCATTCTGCTCGACGTTCAATGTGAGTGCATATGGATCGCTATGTATAAAACTCGTTCGTTCGTTCGTTTTTCAGCGACTGCTCGCGTTGGTTATACGATTCGAAAGTCGAGCGAGCGAACGAGGGTGTGATATCCCGCACCACCGGCACCCGCACTATACCCGGCCGCAATTCTTTTTCTCGTTTTCTCGGGCGAAAGAAACTGCTAAATCAAAGCAACGTCGACGACGCTGCCACTATACGTGGTATATAGTGTACGGCGAGCAGGCTTGATGCATGGAAAACGACGAATTAAAGCTCGAATAACTCTTCGTGAATAGTGCCGCTGCGCGAAAGTCGTTTCGCAAAGACACCGTACACACGCGCGCACATAGAGAGAAAGAGAGAGAGACGAGCTTGCCTCGCGAATAGGGTATACGAGCGCGGGGGTGTAGATAACAAGAATTTATGGCTGGTCGCGTAAATGGTTCTAAGCCTGCCAAAGGAATTTCCACTTGAAATAACCAGCTGGCGACGGTGGCGCTGGTGGCGGCGAGAGCAGCCTCCTACGGAGCTTGCACGTGTTCTATGTAGTCCACGTAAAAGCTGCAGACGTTTTTACGCTTTATTTTTAGATAGTCATCTCGCCCGAGGCTTTTGTTTACCTTTTGAGGAAAACATCTATTTCGTAGCTCGGTACTGGGATGCTTGCACGCGTATATGCGAGCGTGGCGAGACGATTCTGCACTTTGGAGAAAGGTAGCTGCGGCGCGCTCGGAGCCTCGCAAGCTCGCTGTCTAAATACCTCGAGTAGTCGCGAGAATAAGTAGAGGCGGCCGCGACGGCGCGTGTAAGCTCCGCAAAGGCAGCGGGCCGATTTGCATTGCAAATTTCGACCATTTCGGTAGAGGCGCGCGCGTAGGCTCTGTACCCATCTAGGCCCCCTTTGTACGTACAAAAGCCAATTGTTGCGGCTCGAACTTTATGGTGTCCGCGCGCGCGCGTGTACAACTACGTTAGCATGTTCGCCCCCACGCACGAGCCGATGTACATCCCGAGCTTTGGCTCTTCTCGCAAGCTCGCGTGAGCATAATATCATGCGAGCTTGCGAAAAGCACACCGTAAATACGTCGTCGCGATCTAAGACGTATATACGCATGCGGGCGCGTCGAAAAGAAGAAATTTCAGGCGAGTAAATGGCTACTGCAGCTACATATGTGCGCCTGAGCCAATTCGCAAGCTGGAACACTCGCTACGATTTCCGGTGTCGCGCGCCTAAGTCGAGAGATAATTTACACTCGCCCGAGAGTAGATTTCGCTAGCTGCCTGCGCGCAAAATGTATATATACGCGCGTATTATTATAGCGAGGGCGCTTGAGCCAACGGCCGTTGTATGCGCGCACGTAGCCCAGCTATAGTACTTTCGCTTTTCGTGCCTCGCGCGCAGCATTATAACCCCCCGGTAATCCGTGAGCTTAGCCATAAGTATTTTTGCTCGCGCCCGAACCCACGCAGCATTCATACGTACCTACGTAGCTGCAGACGATTCCGAATGCGCGTTACATTAACGCGCGTGCGTTTGTCGCGCGAAAAAAATCTAGCAGAGGCAGTAGCAGCGTGTTCAACAATAGCCCGCGCCACGAATGAGGGATCTAAAAAATTTAGCTGTCTCTCTTTCCAATTCCCTTTCTCTGTCTTTCTCTTGCTGCAGTGCCATGAACTCGCGCGCAAGTGTTTAAAGCCGCGTAAATACGTATAAATACAACGCGCGCGATGCGACATCACTTTTACTGCTGGCGCCGGGGCGTGCGGCCGTGATTTCGTTGCTGCCACCACGCGAACCCCCAGTGCACTTTCTGCCCGAGCTTTATTATACTTATGCCTCACTATATTTCGGGGAAAAAAACATACGCGTCTAGTAATTTCAAAACTAAATTCTTGCTATTTTCTCTCTTTCCAGATACACCGGAGTTTGCGATAACAAGGCTACCTGGTTTTGGGACTCCCATAATTGAGGGCATGTCAGTCAGCCTGAAGTGCGACGTGGACAGTAATCCGCCCAGCTTACCCATATGGCAACGAGGTACGTGTACGCGTGTGTGCATGTAGTTCTGCACTGGCTACGATGTGCGCGGGACAGCTCGGCGTCGAGCTAGCAAATATTATATATATTTGACATTAGCCGCTTGCATCTTCTTATATGCTAAATTATTATTTTTTGCTTGAAACGTCAAAACGTAGGATTTACGGTACTTATGTATGACTCGCGCATAGCTAAATGTGAAATTGAATTTTCGCAGACGATGGAGCGCCTCCGGTGGAGCAGAGCGAGGACGGATGGCTGAATTTCACGAAAATCAGCCGAACCGACAAAGGCTGGTACAAGTGTTACACGCGCCACATGCTCGGCATTTACACCAGCATCGGCTACTATCTCAACGTCCGATGTAAGTGTTTACGCCGTGGCGCAAGCCATGAATTGAACAATTATAAAACTTTGCTCGATGAAGAGTAAAAAGTTCACTACTTTATCGATCCGTAGTCGAGAGCTTTCAAAAAATCATTCGCCGATATTCCATTTCCATTACCTGTTAAAGCCAATCGGACATATATGTTACACGCGTATACTTTACAGCAATGGTGCAACTGCGCTGGCGTTGCAGCGCGTGCACTTCATAACGGCAGAGAACACACGCAAGATTCAATGCCATTATATCCTTTATCTATAATTTGATATAATTGCACGCAGAGCTCTCGCGTGAGCTCGATAAGATTACAGCCCTGTTCAGTATGTGTGCCGTATATGGAGTCAACGCGGCGGCAGGTATATATGCACGAGCGGGGAAATAGTATATGAGATCTCCCTCAGGATCATTGAGCATCGAGCCGTATTTGGATGTGCGAGTGAGTGCTCGAGCACTCGTCTAGCGTACGCAGCAGCAGCAGCAGCAGCAGCAGCAGCAGCACACACACATATAGGCTTAAAGCTCGAGAGAAGGAACGATCGTTATCCGCAGCTCCTCCGTAAATGTACGCTCGAGCTTGCACGAGTAGCACTAGCAGTCCGTCTCGTAGCGGCGTTGCCGCAGTAGTTATCGATAAATTTCTAAGCCGTCTATTAAGTGCCTATTTAAATCGCTACTATACTCGACTCGATCCCCGCACGCAGATTTCCGCGAATTACACATCAGAAGCTTTTTCATGATTAATCGAGGGTGATGTAAGTAACGTCGATAACGTATAAATTATATGCTCTCTCGACTCGCTCGTACGTTACGTACGTTTACAGCGGTGCGCGCATATAGATGCAGGAGCGCGAAGCGACTCGAGACGAAGAAAGAGAGAGAGAGCCTACACGCATGTACGTTTCTTCGCATTTCTGCGCTGCACCGCAGCTGTGCGCGATACGCGAGCTGAAAATTATTAGCACATCATTTGATACTCACTTCAACTGCGATGAACTTTGAAAGTTCAGCCTCGCGCGGGTATACGCGCGCGTGCCGAAAACGCGAAGTCTTACGCGCGGAGAACTTGATTTTACGTGATAAATTTATAATGAGCTTCACTCGACGAGGGGCCGCATATAGTATATTATATATAGAGCTATACTTGCGGAGCAGTCGCGTAAGCTACGATGTAAAGCCTGCGAAATAATTTCTGGATATTATTTGATTATTATTGTGCACGTGGCTTGAGGAATACTGAGAATCGTTAAAAATGGAAAAACGAGAGATAGCGGAGAAAAAAAAGAAGCTCCATAGTAATCAGATCGCGATTGGCTTCGCCAACTTTTTTGTGAGTCTAGAGAAGTTTTTCTTTATTTATCGACTTTCCAAAGGGAAGAGCTAAGAAAATACGTAATTAGGCCTAACTCGACGATTTTATATTGCCTGCTTTTTTTTTCTTCATTCAATCGCGTTCGACCAGTGAATAAATGATATTTGCGCCCAATAAAAAAGTAATAAAACTTTCTCGACTACGCTTCGCTAATTAGTACGGCAGAAAAGGAAAATCACGCGGGCAATACATAACCGATCCTTTTCTTCTTCTTCTTCTCATTTCCAGTTGTTCCGGAAGCCGAGACGCAGTCGAAGCCGCTCAACGAAATAATAACGAGCGACCCGAGAAAAATCGAGGTCCGAATAGGAGGTGACGTAACGCTCGACTGCGACGGCGGCTGCTGGGGTCGAGGACCATCCATGACACCGGCGGGCGGTCCGGGCCGCCTGACGCTCAGCAAAGTCGTGTATCAAGACGCCGGCGAGTATCGATGCGTCGCGCCCGATCGTAATTTACAGGGGGCTTGGAGGGCTCAGCTACCTTATGAAATTAAAGTTACCGGTGAGTGGCTCTATATGGACTTTTTATTCCGACGACATTGACAACGAAATGCATTCCTGGTCCTGTACCTATACGGCTAATGGTAAAAAACAACAAACGAATTGCGCAGTCAGCCGATTCTTTGTTGTTCCTTTTTTTTCGAGTTGAAATACGCCAGACGGAAAATCCACGGCCGGCGCAGCACTTTCGCTTGCGTCAGAAGCAGACGCTTGGCCGAAAATCAAGAAAATCACATTACCGCAATACAAGTTTTTTCCAAACTCGATTCGCTCGATTTTATCTTTGCCAAATCTATGTCTTGCTATGCATAGGCTCGTTTCATGTTTTTTTTTTGCCGCGATTAATCGCAAACGCGGGAGAAATATTTTTAGTCACTGCATTCTCGATTCGCTCGGTTTTTTGAAAAGCACACGCCATGATGCTCAATCGTATATGTATTTTTTCGATCGTTGCATCACAGTCGCTTCGTATACGTATTTTGGATGAGTAAACTTCATGGCAAAGTTTTTTCTAGCGCGAGATTTTCGTGCGTGTAGAAAAATTTTCAGCAAGTTGAGCGGTGCGTGAAATATATATCTTCCAAAGAATTCATCCGATAAATTTGTTTTTCTTTTAAAACTTTCTCATTATTTTCATCGTTTCGAAGAGTTTATACAAGCGCTTGTATTATGTAAACATGTTTATGGCTGTTTTCTGGAGCAAAAAATATCTTTGCTTATCATCTGCGTGTCGCTATTCATTCCAAAAAACTTTTTAAAAGCTCATCAATTTCGACACATTTATGCATTTTTAAATTATTACGATATTAAAAACTTGTCATAGCTCAAGTGCGACAGTTTGCTCGGAAAACACCGGTGGGATTTTCTTTCTGTTGTTTTTACAACGTCAAAATATATTTTTGGTATAATGCTCAACCGGAATAGCAGAAAAAAGCTCAACAAAAATACTAAATTTTACTTCAGAGTCGGCATCCTCTTACCACTATTACTTGTAAATTTCCTGCCAACGCTCTTAACAATCTCCCTTGCTTTTGGCTCGCGTTACGAAAAATCACTCGGCAAACTTTTCTATACCTTCAGCTGCCATTCTCGTCTTGGAAAAATCTCCAACCACATGAAATATTTGCCCGAAATTGTCATATTTTTCCATTTCCGTTAGTATCTCTCGCCTCTCTTTGTGTATCGAAGTCGTGGACACGCTTCAATACATACACTCGCACAAAGTTCAACGTCGCGCGTGTCCAGCTAAACGGATCACGAAAAGAATATAAGCAGCGCGCATACCGCTCCAGCAGGCGATCGTTCGACTGTAAATTTTTCCGCGCTATCCGAATATTTTATTCAACTTTGAGGTGCGCGTGATGCGCAAATAGCCATTCTTATCGACGCGCAGAGGATATCGATACTTTGAGCGCGACAAATAAAAAAGCTGGCAGATTTAGAAATAATAAAAAAAAGAGGAGAAAAAAGGGCGAAATAAAGCTCGCCAGAGAAGAGTTTCGCATTACATAATTTATCGCCAAACGGGTAAACATCTACATGTATATACGTTTATACGCGTATAGGGTAGAGCTTGAAAAATGAGCCTCCTAGCGTCTAATTTATACGCGTAAGCCGACATAATGTGCTTGAGGCCGGAGATCAAAGTCTGCTACGATGAGTAATAATAATTGGCTTCTGTATGCGAAGGGCGTACACAGACAATGAGAACTCGATCGAGCCCGAGCCTCTCATTTTGTCCTCTCTCCCTCTCACGGGCTTCGTATCGGTCTACGCTCGTACATCATTTGTAGTCGGCTCGACTTTCCACCTTATTTCGCTCGTTTTAGCCTCGAGAGCAGCAGCAGCAGCAGCAGCATAGAGCACCAGCTCGAGATTTCGTATGATAAAAAAAAAGTGAAAAAAGAGGGAAATTCGAGATAGAACTGCGAGAACGAGGCGGAAAAAAAACGTTCCTTTGGGACAGTTTGACAACCCGAGCTAGATGTATATATGCGTATAGGCGTTTCTCACTTTGTCAATGTGTGTAATACATGACCCCGATATAGCTGGCCTCTGGCTATATACTCGAGGGCTATATTTAAGCATGTAGTCATTGAAGCAATTTTATACAAAAAGAAATTTTTTTTCCCCCATTTTTCAAGACGCTCTGGAAGCAAAATTATTTCTCGCATCATTTCGTATTACCGGGCTTTACCTAGCTCTACTTTTTTTCCGTTAAACTTTTGTGTAAATAAACTTGGGTGAATAAAGCACGAGCTCTTTTCTCCCGTTCGTATGGCGAAGTTTGGAATACGCGGGATTATTAAGTTATCTGGTCTTTTGTTTCCGCTTTGCGCAAGACGCGCGCGGCACAGTTTCTTCTTCGTTCGTATATCGAATGAATGACAAGCGGACTCGAGATGCGCCTCTGTCTCCGAGTTATATATCGGCTGCTTACCATTTCGTAGCTGGCGGGTCAAAGGAAGAATAAAGTAAGTTTTTGCAAAAGCTCGTTTCTATATCGAAGTGTAATATTTTCATAATTTTTACAAAGTTGATTGGCGTGTTACAACGACAGCTCGAGCGTTTCGTATTGGGTTGAGAATCCAGCGATTTACAAGTAAACTCGGTATCGGTAATTTCGTCGCGTAGATGCAAATCGAGTCCGATTTTTTACGAAAAGCTCGAAGCGAAATAAGCAAAATGTCACGTCAGATTTTGTCTATGCGTGCGCTCGTATTACACGGTAAGCTCGAGCGGCAACGCGCAACCGAGGCGAAATAAGAAACAGGAAAAAGGAAAAAAAATGCGAGAATCGTGGCCAGAGTATCACGAGGCTGTAATCTCGTAAAGTCACCGGGGCGCTCGTGTACCTGGAGCAAGAGTTTCGTATTCATATTCTGCAAGCTTGCACGTATGTATGGAGAGGAAAGGTGAAACGGTCAGATTTATATTAACCCAGGAGCTAAGGAGAAATGATCGAGGTTCCTGGATCTTGGATTCGTGCATCAAATTTGAACAAATTTCCCGATTTTTTTTTCATTTCATTTACAAAAAGAAAGTCGACGTAAAAGTATCAAAGCGACAAAAAAACTATACAAAAATCGGAAATAAAACAGACGACGCGCTGATTAACGACAACAACGCACGGCTTTTTTGTATACATAGTTGCCAGTCCACTGCTCGATGTCGAATAAATATCTTTGCGCTGTTCTTTTTTATGGCCTACCATTGAACGCGCGAGGCATATGGCTAAACCAAAAAAAAATCCATTTCGAAAAAAAGTGTGCGCAGCGGCACAGTACACAATTCAGCGAGCTCGAGTAAGTTTTTCATTATGAAAGCCTCGCGAGCTTGCGCGCGCGCGCGCAATATCAATTTCTCCTTTTTTTTTTCCTTTTTTTTTCATCAACTCCATTCGATGGTTCTCTGTGCTGAAAGAGGCATTGGATGAATGGGAAATATATACCATTGCGCGTTCGGGACCAGATTAACTCTTGGCCTCGCGCGCGCGTGGTCGACGACCTTTTTGTGCTCGCGAAGATGCTCCCATAAAAGATCGAAGTCAATGCGTTCGTACGCTGATGTATAGGCTGAAAAAAAGCCGCCAGGTATATAGAAGTGATTTAAAAATTGACGTGGACTGATTGCATGGGATGGCTGCGGGTTGCTAGAGTGTGCAGGACATCGCGTCAATGAATTAATGAAACACGATATGGCCACGAGGAATATGAACGTAATGCGAGCCCTTGAGTGGCTGCGCAGCCCCCCTAAAGGGAATAAAAGGAAATCTACGGGGGAAATCCTGTGGTTTGATGAAATCTTGCGCGACGACGACGACCATCCTCGACTCCGCTCAATATAGTAACGTTATGGGTATATCAATCGGGCTACGTGACGCCGCGCGCGCGTATTATTCGTTTTATCGGTGTGCACCTGCGGGCCAATTGGCCCGAAGGCAATTAACGCCTGCTGCGTGCCGTGGGATTAAAAGATTTTCATTTCGTGTATGGGGAGAGTTGGGTAGCCGATAAAAGGAAAAAAGGAAGGAGGAAAATCATGCGATATATTCCATTCATTGTTTGAAGAAAGCCGACCTGTACCAGAAGTCGTATATAACATGGCTTGTGTGCGTATGTGTGCGCGCGCGTGAAGTCGAGTTTTTATCCATCGCTGCACGCGCGCTCGAAACGACTGCAATGACTGTAGATCGTACATAGCCTCGAAAGAAAGAGAGAGAGAGAGAGAGAGAGAGAGAGAAAAGAGAGGGAAAGGTAGAGTATGGCCACAAAATTTTGCGGAACAGTAACCTTTACGATAATTGTTATACTACTCAGCTGTGTACTGTGCGAATGCGAATCCCCTCACTCGTCGTTTGGGAACTTTAAATTTTCCAACGATGTACCCCTTCTCTGCCGCTGTGTATGTACTTATGGCTTACTTCTGGCTCCGAGCTATTATATACACTGTTATTACTTCTTCTTCTTCTACTTCTTTCTCTTTTTTTCATTTGTTCCTTATATTTCCAAAGTGTGGAAACGTTGCCGCTGCTGTAGTTGCGGCTGTTGCTATATTGCTGCTGAGGGTGTGAAAAATTTCTCGCTGAGAAACGCAGCTCGCTGAAAGCGAGCGTGTGTGTGTGTTAGCACAGGGCGCGCTCGTACACTACCTATATGCCTGCGCCGCATGAATGTTGCAAGCTGAAAATGTGCGCGTGCTTGCGCCAGCATACGGCAAGGCAGCAGCGCTGCGGAGCACTTTGTCGGCCGGGGCTGAAAATTTTGCAGCACCGAGTGTCATTATTATTATGATTATTATTTTCCTTTTCTGCCTCGCGCGACTTGCGGCAAAAGCAACACTTTGCCGAGGTGCTTGTCCCACTTTGCGCGCGCGCGACGACGACAATGACTTTGTAACTCAAAGGGGGTCTCTCTCTCTCTCTGCGCGCATTGAAAATCATGTGGAAAACATCGAGAACTTGTTATCGTAAAAGCTGCATTATTTATAACGCAATTCAAGGAGTAATATTTTTCAGAAAGTGAAAAGCTCATTCGTATAACTTGTAAGGATTCATAATTTGAGATGTGTTTTGTCATCAGGACGGCCGATGGTCCATCCGGTGTCGCAGACGATGACGACGAGCGAGGACCTGTCGCTGGACGTCCGAGTGGAGTTCTGCAGCGAGCCGCCCTACACAAAGGTCCTCTGGCTGTCGGAGGAGCGCGTCTACCTGCCTGGAGGCGAAATTCGCGACGACGTACGCGCACTGCCCATCGAGGTAACTATATACATATATCGTAACAAATTCAGTTGCTCCTTTTTTTTCGCTGCGGAATTTTCGTGCTGATCGATCGCGTTGTTGTTCCAAAAATAAAGAACGCGCTGGACGGCAGCAAGTCGTGCTACCAGAGCGTCCTGCACTTCGAGCGAGTTCGGCAGCGATCACACGCGGGCGAGTGGTTGCTACTGGTGCGCTCGCCGGAGGGCTTCGCCGAGGCCAGCCTCACGCTCAACGTCACCGTCGCGGCCGGCTACGGCTACGGCTACGGCTACTCTCTCGGCTCCGTAGGCCCGAGTTTGTCCGGCCTGCTGATCTGCTCCACCCTCGTAGGCTTAATCTTCCTCAGCTGTTAATGATTCCTATATAATTACGAGAAGAAGAAAAAAGAAGAAATATGCCTAGCTTATTATATGCGTGTTATACGGTAATACGGGGTATGTGTTAGAATCAAACGTGTCAAAGCGACGAGAATTTCGAGAGAGAGTCGCATCGTCCAATAATGTAATCAAACTGCGTTGAGTATGGAGACGAAAAAGTTATATTATTATCGAATATATATTTAGTTTTTATGGATAATTATTATATAATAGCGATTAAGAAAACGAAAGGGATGTCTTGCCAGGTGCTTAGGTTCCTTACACACTCCCGAGCCAAAAAATAAGGGAGGGGATTTATCTAAGTCTACGCGATGCGGTACTTGTAACTTTAATCTATTACGCTATTCATGTCTTTATTCTCTGCTTATACGTCTTCTAAAATAAACAATGGAGCGAACGAACTACAAAAGTTTTCACATGTATACGTATTTTCAGTCCAAAAGTACTACGTGGCGCTCTATATTGCATACTGCTGCCCCTGCTCCCTTCATTACCCACCTTCTTCTTCTACTCCTCCTCGCGGCTGCAAAACGTTCGTGTTTCCGAAATTACGGCATTAAAATGTACTACTACTACTACGCACACCTCCGCGTCTGCAAGTGTAGCTGACGTATGAATTTGAATTTCGCGGCGCCGATTCAAGAGAAACAATTACAATGTATTATATGAAATCAAGCCACGCTATCGTGCGCGCCCGACTCGCGAGCTCGCATTAAATTCTATAGTTGTGCATCTCCCGCGTAGCCCCGTATAAGCGTAGTATGTACCCGGGAATGTCTGTGCGCACCCGACTATGTGCGTACGTGTGTGCGTGTGTGTGCATGTGTATGCGTGGCGCTCTACGTGACTCATGAGTTAATTGCAAGTAAGTAATTTTACGACGACGACGAGTTTCGAGAGGGGATATTAATATTCCGAATTGCGATGAAAAACGCCCTGGAAATTGGTGCACGCGCCTGCGATTAAAAATTCCTACGCATATAATATAACGTGAATGATAAAGAGAGAGAGAGAGAGAGAGAGAGAGAAAATGACAAAAATTTATCGCTATATGTATTTATGAGTATCTTTGAGTTTGTGATATATAGTGTAATTGTAAAAATGTAACATATTATAAATATGTAAATTTACGACGAAAAACATTTTTTTATTTTGAAGTGACACGTGAAATTGAGCGCATGGAGATTGTATGTATAAAATAGTACATATATTATGCAAATGTAAACGATATACTTGTGAAATTAATAAAAAACGACCATAGATTTTACAAGATTTCATTCATCTTCTGCGCTGTACCTACCATTTTTCGCAATTTGCAGCTTTTCGACGGAGGGAGAGAGAGAGAGTTGGGATGTTCTTTTTATTTAGCCTCTATAAAAGGCGATCCAGTCAGCCGTGCGACAGGTGGGTTGTTTTTATAAATTTTAAATTACCATAATTTTGTATCGATTTTAAGTTAACAAATACACACACAAAGGCGCGCCACGCTTGGCCTGGTTGCGCGCAGCAGTAGCAGATACTTTGCATATATATTAATCTTTTCAGTCTCATTACTTTAACGAATATAAATGGCTCGCGCAATTAATGTTGCATACGCAGCACTGACACTTGCGCGCGGCGCGGCAGCACAGAGACGCGCGCGCGCGAGCGAGCGCATACAGATATATAGATTTTATGCAAACTGGCTGACAACCCTCAAGTAAATTGCTCGTACTTGGTTCGCGCTTAATCGTGTACTTCCTGCCCGAGTGCTTCGTGCACCTCGTACGCCGTGTGTATGTATAAATATACATATATACACACGAGAGTCACCTACGACTAGTTACATTGCCTTCCAATAAAATTTCTCTTTCCCCTGCGCTTTCCATGTACGTGTACGTGCGTGTAATACGATAGTTCGAGTCGTATGAATTATTACCTTTGCTTTATTAAAGGGTCAACATTTATCGACTTCTCGGACGAATTATTTGCGCTGCGCGCACGAGCGAGTCGGTCGACGCAGCGTTAATTAATACATGATAAATTTTCATATGGTCCTTCACGAGTGACTGCAGCCGCTTTTTCGCGCTCGGCCCGCAGCTCTCGCTTTTCGTGTTCTCTCTCTATATACATACGTATTTACCAATAGTTTGGTGACGTTCTCGTGACCTCGTTCGGAATAACATCATCGATTCATAATAAAAGTATATATTCAATCAATTTCAGCAATACTAGGTCAAAGATGCAGTGCGCAGGGCTCGATCGAATGTAAACACACCAGCGGCAGAGCTTAGACGCTTGGATGAAAATTAGCTGAAGTTGCTCGGCTCGATCTGTATACACGCCGAAGTTTGCGCGCGAGCAGGCGGAATTCTATTTGCATATAGTTTATAATCGGGTGTGTTAATCATTCATCAATACGCGCACGAGGAAGAGAAAGGCACAGAGAAGGAGAGAGAGTTGAAACATCAGTTTGGACTTGCAATATAATATTGCCAAGGCGAAATTTCGCTCGAAGAAAAGCCTCGCCTACTCTAACGGTGATGCTTGAACTTGCAAGTCGGAATATTCCGTTGGATTTGCATCGATGCGAGGGATGGATGATCGAGGCGAGCATTTGCAAAATTTCAAATTAAACAATGCTCGGTCTCGAGTCTCGAGCAATCCTCCGGGCTCCTCTTTGATTGACAATTACATTGAAATGTAAAATATAAAAACTTTTCAGCCGTCGAGTTTTGCACTTTTGAAGCTCGCGCGTACGTATACGTATATATACCAGCTGCGCAGCTGTTGGCGGTACTGCGCTTATGCATTCACGTGCTCTCGCACGAGTTCAGGAAGTTCATTATCTCGCGCTTATAATGCAGTTCGAGAGAAAGAGAGAGAGAGAGAGAGAGATGAAGATGCGCGCTGCGGAGAAAAGACGCTTGGCACGTCTGTATATAAATTAACACTCGAAAGGGCGAAGTGCGTGCAACAAACTTAACTCGGAGCGCGCAGATCTCGTCTTATATGGCTATACACGACTGCAGCAGTTCCTCGCGTGCGCATTATGTTCGAGGCGCGCAACTGCAGCACTACACACAATAGATGCTCCGTGAACTGCCTGCCACAATGCAGCGCGACATTCAATCGAATATGTGCGTTCGTGACACACGCGCGCGCACTGCTGTTCGATTATAAACTCGAGCTCCGATACAAAAGGTGATGTCTTGGAGAGGTGTGCTACTTATCAAGAGCGCGCGTACATACAATTGGTAACGAGACATTTTTTACTCTTTAACGCGCGCGGAAGCACGAATAGCAAAATTACAAATCTGTATAGCGAGTCGTTACTGTATAGCTATGGTATGTAATAAAGCTCCTGCAAGAGGGAGGTAAAAAAGAAGCTCGCGCGTTGCCGCGTATACGGAGTCAAGAAAAAAAAACGCGATTCGTAATAACGCAGCCGCGGCATCGTGTATCCTGCATGGTGCGCATCCTCGTACGCGCGGGGCGATCTTCGTTCGAGGCCATTCGTTTTGCTGCTGGCTCTGTTTTGACGGAAAAAAGTGATCAAGGTGCTGTTTGCTGCACGTGTACACGGCAGAGCGCGAGCCATCAGCGAATCGCCTGACATAAATCACACACATGTACACGCACATATAGCTAGCACTGCAGCAAAAATACTCGTGCGCGCGAGGCGCTCGCGAGCACAAAGGTCGGAAATAAATATTGCAACGAGCATAGTATAGCAAGAAGAGAGAGAGATAACGGGAGGTGAAAGAAAAAGAGGCAAAAAGTCCGGGCAAGCTCTCGCGCACACATAACGATCCGTATAGCGGTGCGGGAGTATTTTCAATTTCGTTGGGCGCGCATGTGTGTGCGAGCGAGCGAGCTTACGCGCAAAATAATGAATCCAAATAGTGCTTACTCTGGCACTCGAGGCTCGTCGATTGATTACACGCTGCTCGGCGCAGCAGTTCATGTAAGACTATACCTTTTTTCTTATTTACTTTGTCGCGCTACAAACAGAGCTGCTGTAGGTATTTTTGCTGCCGTTGTTATTGCTGCTACTGCTGCTTCGTCGTCGTAGTCGCGTTACACGGAAAATTATACCGTAAAAAGGAGATTGCGGTTTTACAAAAAGAAAAAATAGAAGAAGACGCGCGGCTCGGTTACAGTAGTCGGGAGTCGCGCAGAGAATTGAATCAACGCTCGCGCGCTCACGGCTCGTGAGGGAGTTGTTTTATTTTTGCCCCGCACACAGCCGAGGTATATCGTCGCAACGAGATTTAACGTCGCTCGCGCGCTTGCCTCGAGTTTTGGGGTGGATATCGGATGAACCGATGCTATATAGATTCAACCGTAGACAATTTCATAACGGCCGGTTGCTTCTGAATGCCGCGCAGCAGTGGCCTCGCCGTATTTACTGCATGTCTATCGCCCGAAGGAAAGAGGGTGGGCTTGATAGATGCGCCAAGAGGGAGAGAGACAGAGAGAGAGAGAGAGAGAGAGAGAGAGAGAGAGAGAAGCCGCCCTTGTCGCTCGCGCGCTATTGTTTCGCCGCTGCCGCACTAGCCGAGCGCGAGAAGCCGATGGCCGAGCTTGCGAGCTCGCGAGGCATAAACATAAATGTGCTGCATAATCCGTAATCCAGATCTACATACAGGATTTCGACGTTATCGCGCTCGCATTGTAATAATTTCATTTCGTTACATTACATTCATGCTGCACTTTTGACTTTTTCGATATTAGATCAAAGATTTAGCACTAGAATACAGGTCGAGTTAAAAGGCCGCGAACATAGCCGAAATATGATCTCGCAAGCTCCGACGCTCTCGAGTTGGGTGAGTCGATTTCCGTTCTACAGCGTTCGTTATATACGGCGTGGGTCGCGAGTTCGTAGCGAGTGCCGGTGGTATAGAGGCCGCTCATTGGACAGTTTAGCCTCTGCGTGTGCGTGCTATATGCTCTCGCAGCGCTTGGAGAGTTAGTTTAATAGTTTGGCAGGTAGCAGCAGCACACGTATTAGTATATAGAAGTGCGCGTTGTCGCCTCGCTATATGGCTAAGCGTCGGGCTAATGATCGACGTCCGTGCGGCGCACTTTCTCTTTCCGAGTTTCATCGTCATCGTCATCAACGTGATCGCGCGCGAGGCTGCAGCGCAGCAACTTTATGTATAAATTTCGCCGTCGCGTATACGGGGTATGCATAAATTCGTATAACCTAACGCGGCAAATGCGTGCACTGCAACGACGCACAGATCGAGCTTCTCTCGCTGCGCTGCGCTGCGTGGATGATCGGCCCCGCCGCCGAGTTATTTCAATTTCGGGCTACGCAGATTGGGTACCGGTGGTGGTGTGCGCATATAGGATTCTCATGATACGCCTAGCACCGATTGGCTCATCATTGTATCATGCGTATACGTGTACGAGTTGATATCGCAAGCTCGTTTTCGGTTTATACCACGCCACTGTCGCATCGAGAAAGCTGAATCTGCGCGATTGATCGAACCTATATGAACGAGAAGAAGCGAGCAAATTAACTTTAGGTTTGCGTGCGACATCTACAAGCGAGAGCAACGCAGTACTCTTTGATTCGTCAAATTTTCAATCAATCGTCGAAATCCGAAGCTCGACTCTTGCGCATAAACACGTCGAAGAAGTCGGCCCCTCCGAACCGCACGACTTGCTCGTGTACGTTCGATTATCAATTCGCTCTCGAGTTGCATCGACGAAGTTGATTGGCAAATACCGGGGCGCGAGTGCAACGCTATATAGCTGCTATATGTATTTATATGCATCGGGGTACACACGTACACGCATTAATATACAGAGGCGCAGCGAAATTGTCTTATGCGCGGACGCAGAGCGGTGCACACATACGCGCACGTATGTATGCACAGAGAGAAGCGTATACCGAGCAGGCCCGAATTAAGGCCAGATATAGGCGATGGGCGTGCAATCAGTCGAGCGAATGTGCACTACTCGATATATGACGCGCTCGGAGTTGTCTGCCAACCTTATACTTGCCATTCGCCACTCGTGTCTATCCGTCGGTACTCTGGATGTGCGTGCGTGTGTGTGTGCATGCATCCCAAGGGCGTGAAAGCGTTTCGGCGCGGCCTGATATATACCCAGGCGCACACGTACTACTACTACTCGGCGCGCCGGATGACAGTGGTGGTATATATGCAGTACTCGGGTAACGGCGCGCTGCATATAAGCTCGCGAGCGGGCGCTGGGGCCGATTTGCATTTCAGATTTAGCCGCTGGAAGCTTGCGGCTCTGCGGGCCTATAACGGTGCCGTAATATCGTATACGCCTCGTGTGTGTATACGTAACGTAGGCGCGTACGTATATGTATGTACGTGTACGTTGGAAGCAAATCGTTAGCGTTCGAGCTCGTGTGCACGCAGGTGCAACAGCCAGTGCCAATTGTCGCGTCTCTTGGCTCTCTCTCTCTCTCTCTCTCTCTCTCGCACGTTACACGTACCCAGTTATAACTCGCACACACGCATACGCACAGAGAGCATAACTCGCGTAATGCCAGCGTGCGCGCGCCTATGTGTATCGGAAAGCATATATTTGGCCCTGCCTTGATGAAACCTCGGCGAAGCGAATATAATGTATAAGGCTCGCAGCATTATCCAAGTGCAGCGGCTCTATATGTGCGTGTACGCGTACACTCGAGTACAGAGCGAGCTCGTATGCGCGCGTGCTATATTTACATTGGCAATGTTCGATTTATGCTAGTATTGCCCTCCCGCAACCACCTTCCCAATCGCACGAATTGAGAATCAAATTTTATACAACGTGTTCGCCGCGTTGAGGATCGTTGAATTGATTCTTCGTTGAGATCGGTACGCGCGTGATTATTGAATCATTGAATTTACAATTTAGAATTGTATTCCGTAAAAACATGATTACAATTTTGTAACACAGTTGGTTATTTTTCATATTTCTGCTCATTAAGACGATGTTATGCACGAATTCGATTTGTGCCAATTTTATTTGCCAAATATAAGGGGAAATGTAAAAAAAAAACGAATTTTATTCAAACATTCGTTCCACATCGGCGCGTAATACTCGAACAAATTCATATGTATGAACCCGCGCTCGAGCTTCATCCATTTTCAACCATCCCGCGCGATGAGGCTGCTCGTTTGATGGACGACAAAAGTAACGCACGTAAAATATGTACGCACTTACACGAGCGCACGAAGCCTTATACACAACTAGTGCAGTGGAGCAAGAGCGCGCGAAGACGTCGATCCGACTCGGCGCAACGACGTAGATAATATATTTGCGCGTCGCATGTACGTCGCATATATATACGCAGCAACGGACTACACTGCGAGCTGCGCGCGGAATAAGGGCCCCGACGTAATAACACGCGCAGCAGCTCGCCTTGCATCAAAGTGGATGAGGCGAGCGTGTACACACAATGTAGTTGCGCGAGTCTGCTTGCGACTCCATTGTTTATACTGCATTGCCTGCGCGCGCGGAAGGCCTTGTCTTATTCGCACACACACGCGCGCTTATACACGCGTTGCACTACTACGGCAGTTACTACGTGTATGTATATAGCTGTAGAGGGAAGATTCAGCGGAAAACCTCGTACACATATATACGTGCACATAGCGTTAAACCAGCTCCGTTTTAATTACCCTATTTACGAGCGGTACATATTTGTGAACGAAAGCTCGTATTTATCCGGGGCATGATTACGCGTAACCTCGGCAATGTGCGCTCACTACAACAACTCCCAATTGTGGTATATACAGGCACGCGTTTCAAGCCGTTTTAGTTTATATGAGCATTTTTTTTTGCGAAACCTTCGCAGACCGTAAGATGAATTTCGATTTAAAGCATCTCTCTAACGAATCGTGATGCCGCGCGCGTGCGTTTCTACGTTGTATCGTCCGCGATGCGCACAGTGGTATAGTCGGGTAGAAGAAACATAAGCTCGGACGCGCTTATTTTCCTTCGTAAATAGAGTTTAAAACGCGCGGGATGGTTTAAAACAAACGAGCATCAAGTTACCCGGCGAATTCATTATACATGATGCATAGCTTGCCAGTTCAATTGCAGGTAAACATGCGCCAGAGCGAGACCGGCGTGGCTATCCTGTAGCCAGAGCCCCTGGAATAAAGAGAAAGAGAGAGAGAAAATGAGCGAAGAGTAAAAGGGTATACGGGAGGAAAAAGAGACGAGAGGAGAAGAGAGGGAGGAAAGGAACGTTAGATAAAGATATGGAGTAGCCAATAATGCTTCCAAACTCCCTTGTCGAGCGAGCTACGAGCATAAATCGCAGTTGCAACGCTCTTATACAAGATATATTATGTGCTCCTACTGCATGAGTAACACGTTTCTCCATGCGTGTAGCATCCACGCGAGCTTTTGATAAAAGCTCTTTGTCTGAAGCTCGTACAGTCGCGCGCGAGCGTGAACCCAAAAGGAGCAACATTAACCCACATATTTCAAGGACCGTAAGCTAATGCGCGCAAAATTTTAACTCCCCGGCGAAAGCGCGCGAGTTTCTTGAATTTGCAGCGTGTGCCGTGTGTGCGATACTTCTGCGATACAGCTCGGCTATACGAGCCGAGAAGTGTATACGAGAAAAGGCATTTCTCGTCCTCGGCCACGATCACCAAATGTTAAGCGACACACAACTTGGGATTAGACTTTATCTGCCCGGCTGAAATATTTTATCCTTAACGCGCGCGAGCCCGTACCTTTTACTGCCGAGTGGACCATGGCTTTATGCCCCGCGTAAAACTCATATGTATCCTTATATGTGCAGCCAGCACAATAGCTATTTTGTTGTTAAACGTGATCTTTAACAAAAAAAAAGAAATTAAATTATAATCATTGGCTGATTTTTGAAACATTCCGAAGCCAGTTTCTCGGACAAAAGAGTTTGAGAAGTCGTTTCGTGAAAAAAGGGATGCGTTCAGGTGATAAAAATTTGACGCGCATCCGAGAGCTAACGTTACGGTAGTAATTTTTTTAGCTTATAGCAGGTTCAACTTTTATGGAATTCTCGTGCGACAAAATAGCCGGCTATATGGATAATTATTATTATATCCCTCGAGTCAAGGAGCCCGAGGAAGATCAGTAACGCTATATTATTACATGAATATACGCTCTAATAATTTGCCAATACCCGAGTAAAATTTGTTTTTCAATGTAATCAAATTTCGTGAGTGATATCAATTGCCATTTGGTGTACAGCTATAAAAATATATGTTCTGCAAACAATGCATTAGCCCCGGACGGAGTTCATGAGATTTTAACGAAAAAATAATGACTCAACGCTTTATATTTAAGGATGATAAATTGAACTGACCCATTAAAAAGTGTTGTTTGTTATGGCCTTGTTGCCTCGGCTACTAAGCTGCAAAATTAATAGTAAACACGCGTTATTAAAAATACAACCCGTTCACTCGACTGATGTAATTAACTTTAAAAATTGAATTTTTTTTCATTTGCATGAACACCAATGATTTATGATAGAAGAAAAACAAAAACAACATTTTAAATTTTTTGTTACTGTCAAAAAAAATTTAATAACAACAGGGATGAATTTGGTACTTTTGATACATCAACCAATCAATTAACAATGTGTCATAAAATATCTGCAAATTTCACATGAGTCAGACAGAAGCCACAGACATTTTACAATTTTCAATTCATTTCAAATATTACGAGTAGCTTACGTACAGACGCTCGAGTATCGTTACCCAGTTGCATCTTTTTTTCTCTATTAATTTCTATCTCTACTAATTAGTAGAGATAGAATTTTAAACAACCATGTTGACGACATACAACAGCTAGAAAATTGTTATGTATAAAGAAATGGAATATGTTGAACAAGCTCTGATTTTTTGTGGTATTCAATGTTATAATTTTCTAGCGCTTATAGCGTACTTTTCATTACTTTATTTACAAAAATTATTTGCAATATATTTATTTATCGTTATTAATAAAATAAATCATGTTCAAAAATATATCATAAATTTCCAGATAATATTTACCACCGGTTCTATCCATTCGATCTCTTAATTATTTATACTGTACAGTACATATCATTTTGATTAAGTTAATTAAAATAATTGCTGCTATTTCGATGTAAATAATATTATTTTTAATCCACCCATTTTATGAGTGTTAAGGTCTTTTTGTATCATTTAAGCGTTTCAAAAGAAAATAATTAAAATTTAGCATATCAATTACTGTTTACGCACCCAACAGACGTAAGCCGTTCCAGACCTCGAAATATTAGTTCTCTACGGTCACTTGCAAAGGATACGTAACTATAAAAATTCTATAGAAGCTCTTAAGAATTGATGTTTTAAAATTTATATTTCATACAACTAAATAAAAGTAACGTATAAATTTAAAATAATGTAATCGAAAGTTTCTAATAGAACACGATTGAACTTTTTCAATTAGGCATAGCAAGATGATTAATGCAGATTTGGAACAAGAATTGATGAATTCTTTATTGACCGATCCCCGTGTGGCGGTTAATTTATCGAAAAAAGAGATTGGAGATATAGTCAACAAATTCATGGAAGAAAATTATTGCTGGGTTAAAAAAACTCTTCAAATGGCATTCTTATGGCCCTACGACTCCGCCAAAAGAAAATACGCTGGAAGATTTTTTATACTTTTCAACATAGTACATGCGTTTTTATCGAATGTAAGAAAAACTTTAAAATATGGTTCCAATCATAGCTTTAAAACAAAAAATGTCTGTCATTTCAGACTTGGACAGTGACTCACAAAACTTTCCGAAAGCCTATAGATTTTGAATTTTTAATTGCTAATCTCTTTGAGTGGATGGTTGTGCTCGTTGTACTCATGGCATACACTTTAATGATATTGAAAGGCCTAGATGTAACATTCATAATAATCAAATAATATAAAATTAAAACAGATGAAGAAGTCGGAAAGGAGATGATTGATTTTTATTTTTAAATTACAGATGCAAATATTTTTCAAATTATCGACTTTGGACATGGTAAATATAATTGAACAGGATGAAAGAATCGAATTAGAAAAGTGTATTAGAAGGCAGTATAATTTATCGCGTATATTCGGAGGTCTGCTTAACGATTGAATAAAGAGTCCATGGAGCATGTAAATGTAACATTTTTCAATTTACTAGTTCTCATCGCTGTATCATTCGTGGGATTCGCCATAATGCCCGGACTTTTTCCCGTCATCGGAGAATTTTTAATACCGTACTTGGATGGAAATTTTACATTTAAAAAGACACTTTGCACAACTGCTGATCTAATTTTAGATCGCGATGATTACTTTTATCTTTGGTATTTTTATACATGGGTATACATGGCGGTGCAAGCAACGGTTGTCATATCGATTGCAATGTCTTTTCTTTACATCGTTTCATATACTGAAGGAAAATTTAATATCGTTGGGTAAGTGAATTCGTAAAAAATATTAACTTAGTTCAGTATCAGCAAATATAATTTTATTCCGACTGGAAACGTACTTCTCACCAAAGTAGCAGGAATTAATTTTGTTTTAAATATTACAATACCACTTTGTGATAATTGGATAATAACTGGCTTATTTAATGATAAAAAGGATTGTAGCGCGAACATAAAATGATTTTTAAAGTAAATTCTTTTAAAAGTGTCGTACGACATTTTTCAATCAAGGTTTTATAATTAGAGAGTCCATATAAGTGGTGTCGATTGTACATCAGCGGACTTAGATACTCGGACCTCGAAAATTTGCGATCGATTAGTCGCTTCCTTCACTGTGCAATGCACATCGTGAAACTGTAGTCACGCGCTGTTGTTTAAAAAATGTGAATGGAAGTGACTAATCGATCGCAAATTTTTGAGGTCCGAGTATCTAAGTCCGCTGGTGTATCTACTAATACAGAATTATTCATACCATTTATGATTGTGTCTATTAGATTAGGTTTACATAAGTTATATGAATTCACATCAGCTGATAATTTTGTAAACAACAAAAAAGTGGATGATAAAATTCATGAAATGATGAGGGAGGTTCATATCAATCATTTTCGATGCATCGAGTTAAGTAACAAATAATTATTATTTCATTTTCCATTTGCTAATAATTTATATTTTAGGTATTGCAATCACGTTAATCGTATTTCAAGAAGTCTATTGTTCATCTTATGGTCACTAATTTTAGCATCCCTTAGTTTCACTGGATCTATGGTATCATATGAAAAATTTCGAATGATAAAATTGTTTTTTTTTTTTGAAAAGATATAAAAGAACGTCTTATTTTTCTAGTCAGTTATACTCATCCATTCGAATCTTATAGTTTTTCTTGAAATGTCAGTCTCGTTCGGCTGCGCTGTATCATTAGGATTTTTTATTAGTTATTCAGGACAAATAGTTACAGATGCAAGTGGTTCACTTTATGAAAAGGCGTAGGATATTTTTGAGAAACTATTTATAAAACTTGTTGGCTAAAATATGTTTTATTGTTTCATTTTATTTTATGTTTTGCTCAATTTTTATACATTTTTAGATACAATTGTGGATGGTACCATTTTCCCAAGAGAAGCATAGTTTATGTACAGTTGATGCTTGTAAGGTGTATAAGACCCTGTGAATTAAATGCTGGGCCATCGGTTATTCGATTAAATTACGAAAGCTTTAGCGTCGTGAGTAACTATTTTTAGCAAAATATTAAAATTGAATGGGATTATAAATGATTTTTTTAATTTTATTTGATAGATTATGAATACGGCAATGTCTTACATAACCGTGATGGTATCACTCGTTTAAAAATATTTGCACTTAGTTCTGATGAATTTCAAATAATTAACTAAAATAATAATCGCACATCATTATAATTGAGTGGAGTGGATTTATTCTTAGATTGAACTTTCAAAAGCAAGCAACGAAAAAATTATATACTTTGCATTTTTCATTTTGCATGAATATCGTCCTAATATGTTTCACCAACACTGAAAAATCAACTAAAATTTTATAATAATTTGTATTGGTAAAATAAATCTACTTAATAATGACATAGAATGGCATTGCTAATGAGTAAAATTCTGTAGTGTAAAACTTTACATAACAGTTTTAAACATTAAATTTGTACTTTACGCAATTAATGCGCAAAACAGGTAAATCATCCACTAACAGTTCTTTTCACCTGAGCGAAGCAGAGATGAAACTAGTTGTGCGTGAATTACCCTTGTATGTGAGTTGTGTGTTATATTTTTCGTACATTATTTTCATGCAATATATTCATTGACTCACACTGAAAAATTAATTGATGAAACATGAAAAGACTATTAATAGCTACAGCATTCATATAGTGTATGAGAAATTTTTTAAGTGTTCATACTTGCACGAAACGGAACACGAAAACCGGGCTCTTTCAGGAGAGCTCTTGAGAGTACGAAGTAAATTTCATTTTTTTTTTTGCATCAATTAAAAAATGCTTGCCATCGACGCCGCACGTCAGCGATTGAAAAGTGAGGGTGACAAGAGCATACGTTTTTTTCAGATCATCCAAGCGTATGTAATATCTGCGGCGAGGACAACGGCCAAGTATTATACACCGCAATATACTTGTGTCTATTGCTTTTCATTTCGTTTTCAAGTTACTTTTTTCCCTGTTAGTATCGTCTATGCTGTTTTTTTTTGTCAATCAGCTTAAGTGCACTTGACGAAAAAATGAATGGGCGCGCGAGCATACGAGAAATGTCTCTAAATACTCTTGATGAATGGGGAAATGCTTTGCACTGCTCATTTTGTAGTTTCCTTCCTATTGTCTGACTTTTTTTAACGTGTTCATTCAAGTTTTTGTCTGTCTCACGGCGTTGAAACCGTACTTCAGCTGGAAATTAATAGCGACCTTTTAAAAAATCTTTGCTATAGGTTCACGTAATGTATATTTACGTACATGGTCATTTCTTTTGGAGTGAAATTTGTTTAGACGCATTTCATATGAAGAGCAAATATGCAAAAATAAAAAATAAACAAAACAAGAACCAGTGTAATAATCTTAACGTCATATGTATTTTTGAAATTCAACATTAATATTCCGAACGTTAATATTAACTGCTCTTTACCTAGAGTTTTAATCATCAAAATATATTACAGAAGAAAAATTTCGGGAAAATAGTTTCACGAAGAAAAGTAGTGAAAAAATAATGTAGTTTCAAAAATTGAAATTTAAAATATTACCCTAACTCGAGCTCGATGTTGAGTTTTGAAAAATCTCAAATTTTTATTCATTTACTTTTACTACGTAACTCTTGAGGGAGCATCGTGACAATTTTAATTTATTTGCCAGTCCTCGAACGAGGTTAAAAGTTGCCATGTTATGGGATCAGCTTGCTATATAACGACATATTTCATAAAACACGCATATAGTGAGCTTTACGAAGTTGTTGGAGCTTTATGCAAAAATCAGCTGCTAAGGTTCGTGTTACAAAGCATACATACTTTATGATAAATGAAAGATTTTTAAAGCAGAGATATTTCATTTAATTTTTCAAGTTAAAACCATCTTTTTCAAACTAAAAAATAGTCATAAGTCATTTCACTTTGCCTCTATTTCATAGCAATTTTCCACTTTTCAATTTTTTTCATTCGTCCATAAGTGTTCCAAACAATTCATACATCTCGAGTAAATTATGATACGATCCTACGATGGAAAAGAAACGAATCAAAGACGCATTCGCACGATGAATTCTCAAGTGAAAATGTTTTTGTGCGTCTCGTTTACCAGCTACTAAAGATAAAAGCTCTCCATTCAATTCATACTTGGCTTCGTATAGGTAATGCTTGAAATCGACGATCAAAACAAACGAGCGCATAAGATCCTCGTGAATTCATTATGAATGATATATAAGCTTTGGCAGCGATGCAAGCTCGAGCCTGCATAGATGTGTGAAACGGAATGACTGAACCCCTTGTGAGTTGCAGTTCTTTATCTGCAATTAAATTATAAATCGCTTTACTTAGTTTAAGGTATAAGTTGAATCATTCGTTTAGGCCTTTCTAACGCACGTACGAGTAAAATATTAAAAAAGAATTTTACCATTGAAGTTCCATTGATCAATTTCAAGTATGTTCTGTACGAGAAATACTCATTTAATAAAAGCTATTCATGATACGAGAGTCTTCGTTTTATGAATTTAAAAGAATAAAATACAGGTAGAGCCGTCGATTCTTGCCTATTTTTTCTTATGAAGTGCGACGTTTTTATTGCATTATAAGATAATTTTGCGCTGAAAGCTTTTATCTCGTGTACATGTATCAGAGCTCGCAATTATCTCGAGATGCGCAAGATTCAAGAAAATTGTATTAAAATGTTTAGCAAAACTTCAATTAATTTTTATCGTGGCCTTGTACTTAAGTGCTTTAAAGAGTCAAATTTCATTAAGTACTGTTAAATTCAATTCATTGAATTTCATAGAATTATACAATGCATTAGATTTTACGAATTTTCTGGATTAAAAATATTACATGAAAATGAACACTTGAAAAAATATTGTTCATTAAGGTAAGTAGGATACTATGATTGTTACTGCAATATGTTTCTGGCTTATTCAAACAATCTGAAGTGTTCGAAAATAACGCTCAAGTACTCGACTCAGTCCAATCAAGTATTTTTTTAATGTATTTTCGCACTCCCAGCTTCAGCGGTAACTTAAAAGCACTAAAATGAAATAATAAAAACTTTTCACATAATTGCTTGAATGAGAATTAAACTTTTTGTATTGTAAAGATTGCGCGTATACAGCTTTGAAATTTTAAAACCATGGATACATGTACGTGTGCGTAGAAACGCAACGTTTGTTACATTAATGTTCACTTTTATTAGCTTTTTTTTAACTCAGAAAATGACAAATCTTTAAAGTGGACACGCGAAACTGCAATACAAGAAGTATAAACGGTGCAACTTTTACAAGCAAAGTTTCTCTCGTTGTTTCAAAAGTTTTTCCGGTTTTGGTCATACACCGAGACACATAACACACACACACACCCACACCTAAACTATGCTGCAGGGGAGTACAAAAGCTTCACTCGCTTTGAAGTGTCGCGCTTCTCTCGTTTATTATCGTTTCAAAGTCTTTCTCTCTCTCGCTCAATATAGTACTGTACTTCAACTTTTTTATGCGCATCAAAGTGCGCCGTGGGTATACATAATATCGATGCTTCCGAGTACCACGTTAAATTGTACAAATCAACAGAGACTCATTCGCTAACGCGTTAACACGTAAAATTCAAACTTTTCGTTCGATGCTACGCGAATTTGCTGAAGCTTTCAGATTTAACGCAACGAGTTTACACTCGTTCGCTCGTAGGAATATCGTTAATTGCGATATTATACATGCATAGTTCGGTGTGTAAGTTTGTGCGAGCAAAATGCAGGGATTGCAAGAGTGCGTAAGTTTTACGGAGTTATTTGGATTGCTAAACGGGTCAACTCACATCGTCATCTTTCGGGAATGATCATCGGTAAAGCGAATCGAACGGCAGTAGCAGCAGCGGCGACACATCTTTTCATACTCGAATGAATTTCAAAGTTTTTTGAAGCATGAGAAATTCGCCTTGATTGGAATCCATTCAGGCCCCCTAACCTATGTGCGATTGAATTTCAATCACTGCTACGACGTATGCATGTTACGTATGTACGAGTGTGCAAAGCTCATACTCGCTCATCCTGACACACGTGTTATAACAAATTATTATACAATAATGCTTATGATGTTTCGGAGCGGATGTTAAGGAAACTCGACGAGAACGAGTTGAATTCAGGTATAGGGAAAATTTTACAAATTTATCAAAAACAAAAATATTGCTCCTTCGACTCGATGGCTCTGTTTCTCTCTTTTGAACTTATACAACCCCTTTCCTTAACTCGCCTCTCCCTCGAAACTCCGGGGCGCTCGCGCGTGCGTCGCTGAAAGTAAAACCAAGGCAGATAGATATATACGAAGGAATTGTGAGCGAGAGAGAAAGACAGAAGCACGCAATCTCAATCTTGCGGATGAATATTGATGTAGTCACTGTAGCTGCTGCTGCTAGGAAGGAAACTTGTGCCGTGCAGGATGAAAGTGACGTGCGCTCGCGTACGCGCGCACATGCACAGGTATATATAGTAATAAGCTCGCTTGCTCATGCTCGAACTAGATAAAAGTTTCGCATAATCTCGTCTGACGTAAGCTAAGTCCTTTCGACTATGTACACGTTCATACACACGCACACACCCAGCCAAGTTCACCCTTAGTCTCGCAATGACCGAGCGCGCGCCTTTATTAACTCGAATCGACAAGCGTACACCGTGCGTTTTATAGAGATTTGCATGTCCCGATTTACCTTTTCGACTTCTTGTTCTCCAAGTATCATCATGCTAATGTTATCGAGAGATAGACAGCTCAAGTTTTTTCATCTCTCGAGCGAGGAAGATAAATATCTTGGATGTTATAACGGTGGGTAAACAACGCCATTACATCGCATGAAAATATGATAATTTTCGCCACAATGAACGAGAAAGAATAGAAATTGATATTTCGGGCTGATCTTGTTTTCGGCGATGATATATGTCGTTTTACGCGCTCATGCGATCGATCAGCTTAAACTTGCGTTATTTGCCCATTATTTGGATTCTGACTCTCTTTGCCCGCTACCCTCTCCGTCTATATGCGGATTGATGTTTTATGTTTTTTCAAGCGCTCTCTCTCTCTCTCTCTCTCTCTCTCTTTCTCTTTCGAAAAAGGAAAAGAAGTGCGCTCGAATAACACTCATATTTCTCTCTTTTCATTTCACTCCAACCACGCATATAATAAATCGACACCTCTGGCTGTGCGCTATATGGGTAGCAGTAACAGCATCGCGTGCAGCAACTTTTTTTTCTTCCCATCCCAGCTTTGTTTTATACTTCTTGGCACTGTGTAGCGAGCTCATGTCATTCTTTCTCGTCTTCGTTTTTTGCGTCGTGTCGAGCTTTTTTTTCACTTCTCTTTTAGCTTGCAAGATGAATGCCCTATCTTTTGAACGTCGGAGAAAAAAACCTTTGACACGCAAGAATAGCCAACCGAGAAACTTTGTGACTGATCTATCATATTTTCTCTTTTGAAAAATTGCTAGTTGAATGATCCATGAACGTTTGTAAAGAATAGAATTATTGAATTGTTGTTATATTTGTCTATTGCTTCTTATGGTGTCACGACTGAGTTGCATGCATTTTCATTGGCATCATATAACTAACATTACTTTTGCAAATAGAAATGAAACTCGATAACCAACCGAAACACTATGGTTTCAGCGCTCTTTATATACTTGATTATATATGAGCTTTCAGTAATGTATATAGTAATCATTAACATATCATTGTTAAAAAACTCATCAACCTACATAAATTATAAGTAAGAGTACTGAAACCAGACTTCCAGTTTGTTGTAATACCATTATTAATATAAATACTGTACTCGAAGTACAGTTATTGCACTAGAAGTTGATCAATTTCACTGAGCTGACACTGTATAAACTGTTATCAAACTGTGAATAATCACTAGCATGTATGGTTATGTCGACTGCGTGATGGTAAACATCTCCCCGTTGCGTTGTACTGCCAAAGTGCCAAGCGACAAGTGCTGAAATCATAGGCACTGACAACGAGTAACACAAACATTGTTGTCTGGTCGTTGCATCCAACTGCTTAGTCCATGATTCTGTATCAGCATACTTGTACGATTCGATGGTTTGGAATTTCATGAAAACAAAATTTAGTACAGTACGATTCTACACGAAAATCGTCTCTTTCTCTGTAGATATCATGTCATGAACTGTAATTCAACGATATTAGTCAACATAAAAAGAGTAGTGCACTGCGTTCTTTACTTGAATACAAAAATGAAAACAAGTTGTAACTAATTGTAAAATCTATTTTAAATGGAATGATTTCATTATATTCATGTACCCTTCAATTTATCATCGCCGTGGTAGGCGCATGTGAAATAGGAGGGGGTAAAAAAAATACTGGAGGTATCCGCGGTATTTTCGACAAAATAAAACAGGCCGTACATCGAATGAATTTAATTTTTTTTAACCCTTCACGGAGGGTGCGAGGGGGGTCGGGAGGAGGTGCTCTGAGGGTGGATCGGTAAGTTCGGACAAGTCTGTACCATGGGAAGCAGTGCGGTGTGCCAGGTCTGCGACTGCGCAACTGTGCCAGGTTGTTGTGACGATAGACTTTTATGAGTCGGATGACGAGGCGGAAATCGAAGTGATAAAGTTGATCCTCATCTCCGACGGGGATGAGGAAGCCACAGCAACAACACCAGCTACAGTAACATCAGCAGTACAATTACCGTAAATTTTGGTCGTCGATCTCAGGTTCAGCGACGATGAATGAGTCGTTGAAAAGTTTTCTGAGAAACGGATAATAACTATTGCTTCTTATTGTACACATAAAAATCAATCTCTTTTGTATATTAATTTTTTTTCCACGCCTCCTTGAACGTGTTTTACATTTGAACGAATAAAAAGGTCGTTTTCGCAGTAAAAGGGCTGTATATTTGTGATAAAAGCTCGTAGGACAATTTTTAAAAAAAGGATTTGAAAGTCTCGTCAAAACCTACAAATCCATTGGTTTAAAATGTTTCTACAACCCGGCAAGAGAAGTAGCCGAGACAAAAAAAAATATTTTCCCCACTCTAACCTAAAATACGCAACTTTGCCGCTAATTTTAGGCTCTCGTAGGAAAAAATAGTATCTCAAACTGGTGCAGATATGGTTTTTTAGCAAAACGAGGGATTATAGCACGAGCCGAAGGCGAGTGCACCCGTTGAGAAATATACTATTTTTATTCGTTAATTGTTCATAAAAAGTGATAAATAAATAAATAAACCTAATAAAAATTTATATAGCTGTAAATTGCTTGCAAAGCCTTTCGAATGGCGTGTCCAAAATTTCGATCCGACTTTTTTTGATTGAGCTACGAAACTTTGAAGTTTACTTATTTTTCGCTCAGGTATGGCAATAGTAGATATAATGCATAATAAGTAGTAGCAGATGGATAAGCAAATATTACACGTTTTAAAAACTCTAGTACCCTGAAGAAATGACTCTCTCTTGCGGGTACGTCTTCTTTCCGATGTTGCGCCATCTGGCCGTTGAACTCAAAACTCAAAATAAAAATTTTGGAAAGGCGAAGAAATGATAAGACGAGTAGTTTGTTTGACTAAGTTCACTATTAAAATCGTAATTGTCTCTAGGCCTCATTCTCGGGGAATCGTTCGGCTCATGTCCGAGAGACGAATGTGCAGTGGATTCCAGAGAAAGTCGGAGAGTGACTATTCAGTCCACAAAATAAAATTTTATACTTACACGAATTTTCGTTTATTATTTCAATATAGATGTAAGATAGACAGACGTTTTTATTTTCGTTTCAAAAAATAAATTCTACAGTTTTAGATGTTCTTTAGAATGAAGACTTCTTGTAATGTTTTAACAATCAATATTTGTAAAAGGTAGTAAGGAATAAAAAGGTTCAAATTTCATATAGAGTAATATTTATTATAATATCATGACAAAAATGATTAACAATAACATAACAAAAACGTATATAAATTATCTTGCGTTTCAACCGTAATTCGAAGTCTGAAAAGGAAAGACAATGTAAGATACTCTTTCAAACTAATCTCATATCATCACCATGCATACAAACACGTCAAATAAAAACTATTATTCTATTGATGCATAAAAAGTTAAAAGTCAAACGTAATCAATCGTAAATTTTCATCGTTAATAATTGATAGCTCCTGTACTGCAGCTGTTTCTTTGTACAAGTTTGTTCGTCGCAAAATGAGCTTTTAAAACAGCAGCTTATCATAAAATTAAAACTTAACCGAGACAGAGAGAATGTAGAAATTTGTATCATGTCCTGCATTTATTATCTCAATTTTGGCCTCCTTACTTATTTTTCGGTATACATTTTATTTGGTAAGCACGTTTTCAGTGATTTACAATTCATATATACTCATACACTTCAAAAAATTTTCATTATTCACTTTTCAATTGTCTGCTTAGTATGACAACGAGGTATTGTTATATTATAATTTATAATGTGTATTAGCCATGCTCACTTGAAGCCAAAATAAACCGTTATAAAAATATATCAACAAATTGTAAGTGTTTATTTCTAACAGTGTTACTGTACGTATATACTTTTATAATTTTTTAATGAATATAATGTATTATATATTTATAAATATAATAATTCGTTACACGACTTCATTTCGAAGACGATCACATGTACAATAATTATCTATGTACACCATATAAATTCTACTTTAACTCACTTATGCAATTCATATAATTATACATATACATTCACATAATGTTTTAAAAATTCATATCTATTGTAAATCTATATGCATTCATAAATTTTTCCCTTTTCAATCATACTTTTTTATGATTATTAATAGGAATAGTTTTTCTTTGATAATGGAAATGTATTTATAACTGAAAGTTGTGCGAGGAGATGAAAGTAATAAAAATTGGTAGTTCTATATTTAATATTTTTTCGTTTTATTTACTTTCCTAAGCGACTCGTTTTTTTGATTTATACTCTCCTAACATGTTGTTTCAACACAAAAATAAATACATATTTTATATACCATCTACGGATAAATTTCGTTATCTGTACACTTTATTTACATTTCGCAAGAGTTTTGGCTCTCCCGCAGCTATATATTAATGTTTCGCTCGTATTTGCATTAATAAAATGGGTACGATATTGCGCGTACAAACAACGTGCGATCGAACGTATTTTAATTTTTTTTTGTTGTTCATGTATAAATTATCAATAAAATTGACACAATTTTTTTCGAAAAAACGTTTTGTTTTGATACACAAATTACCGTATATATTTTTAAATAGCCAACCATTTGAATATTTAAGCGAAAAACGTAAAACGTCAGACGTGATAAAATTTTCATGCACGGGCGTATATATCGTACGTTAAATATTTTTTCTCTGAAAAACATGAGCTCTATATTCAATATCATTCATTCCCTCTTTAATTTACATGCTTCAATTGATTTTGATAATTGCTGCTACTTATAAACGGACATTACTTTTTAATCACTTAGAATCGTAACAACAATTTGATTTATTTATCAGGTAGATTGAAAATCAATCTATCGCGAACGATAAAAACTCATTCAAAACAGCGACAGTTTAACAAAGTTACTTTTGAATTTGCAGCCTGATCAAAATCTCGAAACTTGTCCCCGTTTCATCGCCATGCTCGTTTTGATCGAAGAACTAATTTTAGTGGATGTTTTTTTTTGACCAGGGCCATATTGCAATCACCAAGCGGAAGTTGGCGTAAAGTTTCGACGCGATTAAGCGCTATCACCAGTGGCGGTCATCGTCGTCGTCGTCATCGCACGTAAGAAAAAGTAGCAGCTTCGTGTAAAAGGGGAAATATGCGAATGAAGAGAAAAAAGTCGCGCTCGGCAAGTTTGGCGCATCGGCAGTGCAGAGCCCGAGTTCAAGCTGGTAAACTTATTGATTATAGCCGCTTGTTGCAGCAGCTGCTGTGCTTTTCTTACATTACACACACACATACTCGTGCTGCAGCCTGGGCTTGCTTTATCACAAGAACACGCGGCAAGAACGGTAGGCAATGTGTAACATTCAGCTGCAGTGCTTTCCACTCGTGTAGCTGCGAGGAATCTCGTTGAAATTCGTTTTCAGCGCGTGGTTATTGATACTGAAGACTTAAACCTTGTTGCAGCGAATGCACTCGAACATATGTAGTACGCGTAGACGAGTCGAGCTAGTGCATATAGATATATTACGTTGATGGCGCCAAGTGAATTTCAATCTTCCGAGTTTAAGAGGAACTACGCAGATCGTATACGTGCGATATTTTCAAAGGAATCGATTTTAAAAACCAATAATCAGGCAGTTTGGTGACACGGTGAACTTTTCATATCTCATTGAGCCGCGGAAAAGAAGACGAACGAGCCTGTTTCGAGATTATCTCAGTTTGAAAACGCAATTAAAATATTTCAACGCGGTACAACGACGAACGCTCGATCGTAAAATGTACAAATTAATCGAGCGTTTCGGCGCACCAATCGCTCGATCAGTCTCTCTACAACATATTATTCACATATGGTATTTATACACAATGAAGGACCGGCTTGCCTTTTCGGGAGAGCGAAGCGTCTCTCAACAGTGCGTCGGCCTGATGTTGCCGAAGATCGCGACGAAGACGAACGACAGCAGTAGAGTGACGGCCGAGCCAGCTGGACTCGTCGCTGGGGCGTGACTGTAGCCGGCGGCCAGAGTCACATTCAGCGTCAGAGTGGAGTCAGCGATGCCCTCGGGCGATCTCACGAGCAGCATCCACTCGCCGGCGTGGTTGGGCTGGACCCGATCGAAGCGCAGTATACTGCGGAAGCACGACTTGGTGCCGCCGTCCTGGAAAAAAAACACAAATTCGCTTTAAAGTGTCATCTCGCGAGGGCAAACATTACACCCTGCACTTTTAATTTGTTTTACGTAAAACTGCATAATTTATTCTTTAGATAATGTTAAAAGCAACTCGTGGTCTTTTGAATAGAGTAAAAGTCAGCAGTTTTTTTTATCATTTAATTGTCATTGTTGTCGATGCACGCACTACTCGTGTACCGAATGCTCTCTAGACGTCTTGAGTCATGTCTGTGGCTGTCTGTATGTTTGCAAGACGCGCGCACGCGACCAAAAGATCTTTCAAGACTAGCTCGAGCTCGTGTTTATCTTGCCCACTGTGTATACGCTATACATATTTGCTCGCTGGCTGAGATTGCGAGACCGCGCGCGTATACACACTTAAATACAGCCGAAACTATAGAGCATACATACGAATACAAAGCAAACTTTATCAATAAAAAATATTGCTTTTACGCTCGAAACAAGATAAACATTGAAAATGCGGACGAGAAATGCAGGTCGCGGCGCACCTAGCGGGCAATATTTCGAAAATTCAAGAGCTAAAAGGTCGCGGTAGTGTACGTTGTTGTTTTTACACTCGGTTGCGCATTTGAATTGTTTGCTGCTGACTTATTTATTTATTTTTTTTTTGTCATGTTTAATGTTAAAATTGAAAAACTATTCGAATCATCTGACATACCTCGATGAGGAGTGCTTTCACACCGTCCCGTAACTTGGCTCCGGGCACGTAGACGCGCTCCTGCGACATCCACAGGACCTTCGTGTAGGTGGGCTCGGCGCAAAATTCCACCATGACGTCGAGCGAGTCGCCCTGGATCGTCGTCATGGTTTGCGTCATTGGATGGATCATCGGACGACCTGTTGACATAAAAAATTATAAACGATTTCAATTAGTCTGATATTTTGAAGGAACAGTTGTGATGTAAAATATAACAACGTGGCTTCCGCACTAAAACTTGAACGCAAATGCAAATGCGATTAATTCTGTTGTTATAAATATTAATGTATATAAATTATCCCAATTCTAAGCTTTTGCGTGCGTGGATCTGTATACGTAACATTTAAATGCTTTATAAACACGCAAGTGCGGCCTCCTATCCCTTGCATCGATGCGGAAAAGCTTTTACTTATTTGCGTAACGCAATAAACAGTCCGGCAGAGCCCAAGGCCTTTTTCGCGATTTTCGACGTGCTCGGCCAGCCAGGCTATGCACTTACTTTCAAGTTTTCACGAGTTTCGCTTGTCCAGGATACGCATGCGCATATACATACACACAAACACACTCGAAACGCTCACTTTGAATTGCTTTTTTCTTCCCTTATTTCCCATCTATATAAACGCACTCGCACACACAAACACACTGAGCTATCATGGTGCAGGTGGATCCTCTTGGCTCTCATGAATATTCCTAGCTTCAAAATCGCCAGAACTATCATATATATCAGAAAGTCTGCGCTTGAACGCTTATGTACGCACTTGCGAAGCTGAGTCGAGCTCGCGCAGAGTATATATATCCACAGATATATATATACGTAAACGACGAATGAGTTTTTACGGGCTTTTAGAGGAGAAGAAAACTTTCGGACTCGTTTGCATACCGACAAAGTTATTACCCTTAAAAATTTGTAAAGCGAGATTCTTGAATTTCATCAATCACATCGTGCGCGCTTATACATAGATAGAAAGAAAGAGAGCTAGATATGTACGTGCGCGGCACGAGCAAGTCGTAGATTAATCGCAATCGTGTGCCACGGCTGCAGCATCTTATCGTCGAACTTAAACGAGGAAGAAACGAGACGTTAGTTGTTTTTCCCTATACATTTTTGTATATATCTTGGTAAGTATCTATTACGCGTAGGACACGTCTGCGTAAATATATGTCTATATTTTTGGTCGCTAAACTTGTTATTTTCTAACTCGATTCGGCGAATTTCATTTATTTTACGCTCTTCTCTAGTGCTTTTTACTCTCGGAAGATAAGGATAATGGCTGCCAAGTGGCTTTTTGTTTTCCTGCGCTCACCCACTGCAGCCAAGCTCGGCAGCTATGCAACGTGTATACGCTCGCCGCGTTGACCCAGTTCAATTCCTGCTGCAGCTGCTCATACATATATACCTAATAGACACGTATGAAGCTTAGCTATCGTTCCCTTCGTTGGCAAGCTTATCTCTCATAGAAAGTCGCTGAAAATATCACTTACAGATCCGGTGTGCGCCATGTAGGGATGAAAAATTCACGTGCCTTCTATCGATTACCGGGGGGCGAATGTACGTAAGAGCGTGTACACGCTGGCCGAATCGTATACGCGCGCCCGAGCGAGCGATTCTCATCGGCGAGCGCCCAGCCAGAGACATAAAATGGTCAATCAAGGCTGCAGAGAGAGGGCCGAGGGTTACAGTGGAGGCGATAAATTTCACATGAAAAAGAGCAAAGTAATCCTCTGGTAAGAGTTTGGACGATACATTCTATTGTCCTGGAAGACTAACATGATTTCTTCCCGAGTGTGTGCTGGTATGCTCCGAGCACGGCTGGGAGCGCATTGTAAATTTGCAATATTCGTTACAGTCCGTTGGGATTCTAACCATAGATATATATAAAGCTCGAAGCATAAAATTGCACCTCCTCAATTCCAACTGTCGCTTCGGCTAAGTTTTGCTATGTCGTTTCTCTGCGTTTTTTCCTTTTTTAAGCAAACACACACATACATCCTAAATGCACACATACACACACGTCACACACACATATGTACATGCTTTATAATGGGGGTAAGCGTAGACAAAAAGAAAATAGAATGATTTACTTTTATCGCTTCAACTCAGTTTCCTCTTTATTTTCGGTTACCCGCCACTTGTATGTTTGCTACCTACTTTTCGTACTTAACCCTTAAACGAAACATATATTTTTAAAAAACTGCTGCCAATTCATTGGAAAAGAGCTTCCTCATAAATGCTATTTTTATATACGATCGTTAATATAAACTGAGGAAATCTTTATAATTAATAAATTAATTATAAATTTTCAATTAAAATTAATACAAAGAGATCGTTCTGAGAGTAAATTTCATTCTGAGTCTATGCTCACACTACACATTGCTTATAGGTCTCCGTTATCTACTATATAATTTCCTCTATTAGGAAGAAATTATTTTTTTTAATCGTCATAAATCCTTAACTGTATATTGACTAAAATGAATATGCTATCTTAAATTTTCTAAATTTCCAATGGAGGTTTCTGCAGTAAGACATAACAGAGTACAATTCAGCAAAAATGAATGTATTAAAAATACAATTTTTCAAATCAATTATATGATGTATCATCTATATAATATAATAATTATTACACAAAATTATTTTCAACCGGACGTTATGAATTTTCAATTATAATAAATGAAAAAAAAATCAGATGAGAATATTTTGACATATAAATCGATCAAAAAATAGACGTTAAAGGAGATACTTCAAAGAGTTAATTTTTCGTTCCAATTTTTGAAAAAAAAGAGATTTTTGCGAAAAAGCAAGTCATTGAAACGAGTTTGCCTTAACGAATGACTACGATTGATCCCGCTAAAAAGTCACGTGCTACGTGCAGCGCTGCACGAGCAGGCACCCGCAAAAGCCTGCGTGATGAATAATATCTCGAATCAGAAAAAAAAAATATTTCCCATCGCTTTGAACTATAAGTACGTCGTGCACAGCAGCTGGTTACGCATAAAGATCGTTGTCAAAACGAAAACGAGCGACGCAGCAGCGCAATGTGACGTGCAGCGCACGATGCACAAAGTCAAAGCTAACCCTTCATTTTAGCATGTCGCGCATATATGGGTATACGTGAATATACATATCTCACGCACTCAGGCCGTCCGGTCTGTACTGGGTGACTCGTCAACAAGTCGTACTTCTCCATTTGTCCAATCAGCCGTATCAAAGTTTGCGCAGGATATAAAAGCCTTACCCGCTTACACGCACGCATGCCATCGCTTTGCCCGCGCTCGTGTATAGAGCGTACAGGCAAAAAAAGAGGCGACTTATTTGCACTAATTAGCTGAAGTGCAGCTGAATAACAGGCCGTATACGGCAAAATTGGCTTTATTCATATCGACTTCATTTATCACCGAGATTTATATAGACGCGCGCGCGCGCCTGCACCCTCTCGGCTCGAAAGAGCGCACGCGAGCATAATGTATGTAGGCTCGCAGCGAGTTTTGCTTTTTCAGCCTTTTTCCCGAGCGTCTGTTGGAAAATTGATCCCGATCCCTGGTATTATCAACCATGGAAGTTCCGTGCCGGGATTTCGCAGACGCGCACATACACAATTACGAATATACTATAAAGAGATACGCGCGCACACGATACGCAGACTAGGTCCTGACCTCGACGGCGTGCAGTACACCGAGTCCGGAAAGCGCGTCTGGTTAACCGGAATACATACGTACGTGAAACATACAGATATAGATATATCCATCGCCCAGGACGGACGTAGACTTCCGACAACGCACGGGGACGAACTCGCGTTCTCTCTCTCTCTCTCTCTCTCTCTGCAAGCTCTGTGCAAGCTCTGTGCAAGCTCGCGCGCGCCAACCATTAATCAACGCGCCTATAGGTGCTTCTGCGCGTACATAGCTACGCCGTGTATATGTATGGCTTTCTCGACCTCCGTTAGTGGCCGCTAGCCGTTGAATTACGCGAATCATTGCAAAAAAAGTCTCGCGCACATACACGCATAGACGAGCCTTGCACGGCCACAGAAGCCTCTATATCGGTAGGCACGCTTGTATGAGTGTGCTGATGTGCGCCAGCAGAGCCCTTTTTTTCTTTCTCTTCCTCTTTTCAGATAAAAGCTCTTTTTTTTCATTCTGCTGGCCTCGCGCTCCTTTTCATTCATGATGTTGTATCATAAATTCGTATCTCACAGGCTGCTCTTGGTTGCCCTGCCACTGCACTACTAGCCATTGCGTGATGCGAGCTTCGAGTCTAACCATTGTGATTTATTCGTATAAATGCGTCCCCCCATCCCTTCCCTCTTTTTTTCTAGTGGAGTTGGATGGAGCGAGTCTGTACTTTTCTGCTGAAACTTGCGCTTATTTTAATCTCGAATTATGTAATTTATATACGATGCTGAGCTGCTGCTGGTCGCACATACAATCTCTCGGCGAAGATTGCTTTTTCATCAAGCTAGAAAAAAACACCGATCAATCAATCAATGTTTGATAAAGCGTCCATACATCATTCCGGCGGTGTACAATTTCTCAAGCAGGAAAATATGAAGAAACTAGTCAAAAAAACTTTTTTTGGCGAGCTCGAGCTCTATTTTTCCTTGACCCCGCGTACTTGCTCGTCAGAGGATCTTCGCTCGCTGCGTATTACATAGTGAACGACCAGATAGAGAGAATAACAAGAGTCGCTCGCGCGCGCAGTCATTTCGCAAAGTCAATACCCTAAGATAAAATAAAGCCGATTAAAGGGAACAAAATATATAGGATATAAAGCGAACGAACATTATCGATCCAAGAAAAGACAATATCGGACAAAAGTTATACGGGAACTCATTTGTTAACATGAAATATTGTATTTTTGTAAAGTATATTTATCATCCGAATCTTATCGAATAATCAAAATTTGTTTGGAAGAGTATTAAAGCGTCGTTACTCATCAAGCAAATAAAACTACTTAATCTAATAGAGTAACGATTAATCGTTCGCGATTATCTGTCTACGTGGGGCCATCAACGGCGTTGAGCCGCACGCGACAGGATTAAGGCGATTTCGTTAAATACACTCTAAGACCCAAAGCCTCGAATCTTATACATTTTGCAATTTCACTCGCTTCAATAATTAATTTTAACCCCGCGCGGCGCGCGTGATTTTTTTCCGAAAGATTCCGAGCTCTTGTACGCGTCGAGAAAAACAGGCTATTAGCCTCGGCGCATTATCGGCCATTCGTATTCAGACGGAATTGACCCTTTACATATATATAAGGCACACCCTCACCCCCTCTCGCACAAACACCCACGCGCGCGGATACACAGGCTGTGCACGAGCGTGTTCACATATCGTTTGGGGAAATCAAATGTCTGCACGTGGCTGTCTGCTTATGTACCTCCTGCCGCTGCTGCTCAGCTGCTTCTGCGCGAGGCGTGCGAAAGACGCAATTTGAATGCAGCGAGAAGAACGTCAAAAGCACCCAGCGCTCATGATTTTCCAGCCTTGCACGCGCGCGCACTATGCTACCCATCGCTTTCTCATATAATCTTGCTCACCACCACGACTGCTACTATTTTTTTTTTCGTTTTTTTTCCTTTTCTTTTCCTTTCTTTTTTTTTCACGGAAAACCAAATGGCTTTTCGGCGCATGCATACTAAATGTAAAACGATTTTCACGTGACTCGTTCCGAAACTCTCGAAATAGGAGGATATATGGACGAGCTGTGCACAAAAGGACGGGAGAACAAAGACAAGGGGCGGAGAACAAATTTTTGAGAAAAGTTGCATCCACGGCTGGAAAACGTGTGCCCTAGACCATTAGATGTGTGACGCATGCAGTTCGAATCCACCCAAAACAGAATCCAATAACCCCGAGGAATTCTGAAGCAGATGCGACCTGTTATCTTTAGGATTTGTTTCAAGCAAAAAATGAAAATTCGATCCGAGCACTTCGAAACTTGAATCTAGTTCCGCTGGTGTGCAGATGACTGGGCCAACTTCAACGCTCTACAGATCTTATTTAGATTTATGGCGAAAACAGACACAACATTGATAAAGATGAGAATGAAAACTCGAGTATCTGATGAATTAGTTTCATTATGCAAAGTAGAAATATACGCTGCAGTTGATCGTGAGCATTCGCGTCTTTCATTCAAAAATACTCGGATGTCATCCGTCTGGGGGGAGGGCTGCAGCGAGCGAAATTTTAGATAGCGCCATATTTAGCCGAAGGAAACGATGCTTTGGATGACAGAAAAACAAGTTGAATCTTGTTGTCAAACTTTGCTTAAGAACTTTTCATTTATATATGCGCGATATTGAAACACGAGGAGACAAAGAGCCGAAGACTGCGTGCGGAGGCAGAGGGAATACAAGGAGCGCGTCGCGCCAGAAGCAGTGTGCGCGGCGGTTGCAGCTCCAGCTGCAGCCGTGTTGAAATGTGCTCGACAGAGAATGAGACACAGCGAGTGTCGAGTGTTGACTGTTTGTTAATGAGATATTTCAGAGCACGTGGCCTGAATAAGTCAAAAGTAAGCTTAGTTGCGAACTTTTGATCCTGTACTCGTATATGGGTCGATTTGCTTCAGTGATAAGTTGAAAGAAAAATATCAACGAAAATGTAACGATTTTTGAACATCGGATTGATTTGATTTATTTTACTTGATGAAAATTAATATGATTTGTTTTGTTATACCTGTTTCAGATGATTGATTTCGAAATTTTTACTATTCAATCATTTTCATTAGAATACAAAATACTTTTGATTTTATTTTTGGAATCGCTATGGTTTACATGGTTCTATCCATATACAAAATACTTACAGCCTTTAGTAGAGTTAGTTTTTTGTTGTAATGTTCTGTAAGAAGAGATAGGAGAAAGCATTTTCCGTTGATTATCACCTGACGCTTACAATACATATTGTAAATTGTCACTTCTCTTCCATCCTCGGTGTTTGTGATGTAATTTAAATTTACTTTCATTACAATGTATTAGATCAGATCCGAGAAATAAATGTACATACCCTCAATTTTTGCTCAGAAAATTGAAACTAGTCGATTTAATGTATTATTTGTACGAGGCATCGGTGATGGTATTTTGTGGTTTGTCGTAAAAGACCCATATAGAAACAATGCCAAATGGTCTTTAAAATTTCTATTCTTAGCGGCCAACGATAATCTAGCTTTGAGAGGTTTAGATTAAAGCTTTGGATAGCTTAACAAAGATAGTTAAAGGGCTAAAGCGTATAGGCTTTACAATGAAGATGAAGAGTAACAAAAAGGATTGAAAAAGTCTATCCGCAGCATGCAACTAATTGGTCTTTTCGCAACGTTGCACTTACATCTTATGAGAACTTTAGGGGTGAAGATTGAAGATTTCAAAATAGTTGAATAAAAATTAATGATGGGGTATTTATTAAGATGGTTAGATGATCACTGTAATCATAGTATTACCGTACTACACTGCTATGCGCAGCCTATTGAGCTAATATACGCGGATATGAACTAAAATGACATGTTTTTTACCCTTCATCACGAAATATTTTCTTTGAAAGCACGATAACATATGTATTTTTATAATACATTGATTGAAGGATGACATCTTTAACTTTTTAATCAACAGATTTTTATTATAAGAGACCGTGTTAAAAGATAAATTTTTAGATTAGTGTTTTTTGAAAGTTAATTCAGTAACCTATGCTAAAAATTTGTAGGTACCCAAGGGAAGTATTAAAGAACAACTGCCCAAAGTATTACCTAGATTTTTGAATGATTAACTAATTTAACCGGTATACTAGTATACTTTTTTAAATTTCCGCGCCAAAACTGGCAGTCTGTAATAATTTGCTGAAACCCGCTTAACTTGTCATATAGGTGACTCTCATGTCACTGAATTAGTTCTAAGGATTATTTTTGTAATGGTTATTTGTTCATATAAGATAGCGTACCAGTGGAACGGTAAATTTACCATGAACAAATAAAAACCGATGATATTTAATTAAAATGAGAGTACAGATACGCAACGAGTCCATAAACATCGTTTCGGTTAACGGGTAAATAAAAGTACAAGCAAAGTAAGTACGAAAGCGTGTCATTTTAAACAAAAACGATTGTACCGCAATCATGGACGGCTTTGCTGTGCGTCTTTACGTCCAAATGCTTATATACATGTATATAAAGAAGTTGCAAAACTTTCAGACGTATACGCCAGTTGTCTTTATGACCCTCGTCGTATTACTGAAACGCACGCGCGTCGGCTAAGGGTTATAGTTACTTTGTATGTAAGTACAAATACGGGCAATAAAAGCAAGATCCTTCTTCTATGAAAAACTCTGGTTTGACATTTATGACCACTCGAAATGATACATTTAATTAAAACTTTTTCAGACTATTGTATCGCTCGTTCCTGTGCTTTGGTACGTGTTTTGCTGTTGTTGTTATTGTTGTTTTTTTGTGTAAGTTTTCCGTTGTTATTCAAAAGTAATTGAGTTTTTTAATTTGTAAAAATCAAAAGTGCAAAAAGTTTCGTTTTATTTGTATGTAAAAAAAAATTATAATTATAGAAACTTTCCCGAGGAAAGAAAGTGAAAGTTTTGTAACGACATCAGCAGTTTTGTCAGCGTATCTCTTTTGGTTTCTCTATTTCGTGGACAAAGAGGGCCCCAAAGAGCAATCAAACTAACGACGAAATGTTGCGATTGTCTTTGAGTTGGATGCACTTTCCGAGCGGCCAGAGCACAGCAAATTGCAAAAGAGCATTTTTGTCGTCTTGACCCCTTTGCGTTTTACGTGATATAGTTGATTTGCATGTAGGCGGAAACTCAATTGCGAGAAGTGTGCCCGAATTACAAATTTGTTGCGTATTAAGTCAGAAATCGCAAAATTAGTTAGTTAGAGTGCCTTTGTTTTAAGTGTTGCACGTATGTTCGCCAAATTCACATTAGCAAAGTACATTTTGAATCTCTAGATTTTATGTCAGACTCAAAATCCACTTATGATAATTATAAATTACTGCAAATTATGCACATATAGGATATTTCATATAGGGCTCATTCTATGGGTAATAATTTCTTGTGTCAAAAAACAAAAAAAATGAAATTTTTTTTTAACATTTATAATTTAAATTAAAAACTGAACATGTTAAAGTAAAATCTGAATTTAAGATTTTTTCAATTTGCCGCTATGAATAACAAATAGTTTCAAAATGATTTATCAAACATTTCCATTTATTTATTATTTTGATTAAATTTTCTAAATAAAATTTTATCAAAACATATTCTTCAGAATCAATTACTTAACGTTGCTCTAGTAACGTAGAAATATTCCGACATAAACAAAAATAGACAACAACAGCGGTCTATGTGCTTGAGAGCTGTTTGAAGCACGATCCAGTTTCCGCACAAGCTCAAACACGCACGAGAAATCGTAAGGTGAGCCCTTTTTTAATTTTCAATATTTTTTAAACTAATTACTTTGGATTATTTGAGGCACCAAATAGATTACATAAGTGTTTCATATTTTTCTGTTGTAGTTTCGTAGTTTGCTATTTAGAAATACTCGTATCACTAGCTTCATAAGATTTTTTTTATTTTTTTAAATTTTTGCTGATACTCCTGTGGTTATGTATGAAAAGGTGTTAAGGAGTATTTTCATTGACAGGAGTATCTTATTACACTTTTTTAATATCTTTTAAAATTTTGGGGAACAGAATCTGACTTATAAACCCTTTATTTTTTAAAAAATATCTATAACACATCTATTGCTATGAAATAAAATAAAAGACTTGGAATTTATTAATACTTTCAGGAAACTTTTCTGCTTGATGATAAAAAGAATGTTTCCTCTGGCTTTCGTTTAAGAAACAAAATGCGAGTTTTTAATTGTGATGATTGCGATGCAATTTTTGCAGACGAGGAAACGATGCGTAGGCATCAAATGACAGCGCATCTCGGATATAAAGTTCTATGCAATATGTGCAGAGCCGAGTTTTATGATCACGAATCTCTAGAAGCACACCGGCCACAACACGCAAATGACGAAACTACGGAGTGTGATGTTTGCGGTGAAGTAAAATGCACAAGGTGTAAAATTTACTTGAAGGCCCAAGCTGACAATGTAAATTAGCAAAGTACTGAGAGATGTCCATTATAAAAATATTGTAAGAAAAATTATTAGTTAAGCCATTCTTAACTTTTCATTTGTCAATAGATAGATGTCAAAAGCTAATTCAAACTTTGTGGTTTTTGCGTCATTAAAGGTATATCGCATAGCGTAATTTATTATAATTATAATAATATTTCTCATGACAATTACGTGTAAATGTTACATTTGCAATGTTACCCATAAACATAAATACTATGATGTGCATCATTTGATTTTTTACACGTTTAAAATAAAACATTTTATTTGCAAACGTTTTGTTTGTACTTTTTTATTCAGTTCCGAACTCTTTCCAATCATCGGGAAAACTTGTATGAGTTTTTTTAAAATTGCTCTAAGCTCGATTCAATCCACGGTTCTCCCCATTTCGATAAGTAGTGCTATAAATAAATGTAAAACAATCACTCACCGTTAACTTTGACGTAATAGGGTAACTGAGCCCTCCAAGCACCCTGCAAGTTGTGATCGGGCGCGACGCAGCGATATTCACCGGCATCCTGATACACGACCTTGCTGAGAGCCAAGGGTCCGGGGCCACCAGCTGGATTCATGCTCGGTCCATGGCCCCAGCAACCGCCGTCGCACTCGAGGGTCACGGCGCCACCAATTTGAACCTCCATTTTTCTCGATTCCTCACCGTTGAAAGACTTGGCTTGCGTTTCGATTTCAGGATCATCTGTGCAACGAAACGAATCATTAAAAATTAGATTGGATTTTTTGTCCAAAAAATAGTTCAGCAGCTTGATGATTCTTCATAAAGTACAAAATACAAGCACATCATTGTTATCGATACATATGACTAGGCAAATTTATGCTTCAATCAATTGAATAACTTTTCTCATTGATAAAGTTTTGCAATTGCGAATCTGCTCGGAGATTTTGCTCGAAGTGCAGCTAGAGTGAGAGAGAGAGGAGAGCTTAGTCGCGCGAATTATATATAGGTAGTGATAGACTGAGGCGAATGCAACGACGTCAATATGAACTGAGAAACCACAGTCATTTGTCAGGGACGGAAGCTACTGGGGCATACGGAAATTACCTCAGCCCTTATATACGGGAACATTTGCAAATTTCCTCGCCAAACTACTTCACGCCGAGCTATCGAGAAGGTATGAGAGCTCTCGCGGCAGTAGATCCCCCCAAACTCCAGCAAGCTCTGGCATCGATAATTTTGAGGAATTAATGATACCGTTTCCTACTTAGCAGCCGCGCGCGCGCGCGCACGCGTGTGTCCGACTTTTTTCCAATTCTCGATAATTACCCGAGCAATTACGTCGAATTACGCCCCGCGCGCGCGCTCGACTGCGATTATTCCAAATCATCACGGGCGAATAACATTTTATCCAACGAAAATTATTAGCTCCGACAAGTTACATGATTTCTACCCGGAGTGAATGGAGAAAGAGGGAAAAAAAAGGATAACACGCGACGAGCATTGAAGCGTATGGCTCTTCGCGCTCTTAAGATAAAAGGGCGCGCGCCACGCAAAGAGCCCGACGAGCGAAAAAGGGAAAGAGAGGCTTTGACGGAAAAAGAGAAAAGTAAGTAATATAAGAGCAGCGCGTGTGCGTTAAATATAAAGGTGCTGCACGCGATGCGGTGTGGTACTTTTTTGAAAAGAAGCTCTGCCGCAAACACACACGCGCGCGCGCTACGGTATATACGCGCGTGAAAAAAAAAGACGACAAAAAGATGTCTGTGACTCGTTCCGTATTCGAGAAGTCGAACGAGTTTTTTTTCCATTTGCCTGGAGTGCCATTAATATTCACAATTTGCATCGAGTGTCATTTATTTATCGAAGGTGTATCGCATGCGTAAAATGTACTTACGCCTGACGTTGAGATAGTAGCCGATGCTGGTGTAAATGCCGAGCATGTGGCGCGTGTAACACTTGTACCAGCCTTTCTCGGCTCGGCTGATTTTCGTAAAGTTCAGCCATCCATCGTCGCTCTGCTCCACCGGCGGCGCTCCATCGTCTGCAAAATAATCAACGTGTTATACGTATAGCGACGATATAGCTTAGCTTGCGTAAGTACGCCGCGCGCATTATCTATGCTGCAGCACGAGTGAATGATTGTTTACGTGCGCTGCGCGAGTTGCCATATGGCGCGCGAGTTACTTGGGGCTATTGTAAAAATCCTCGTCGTCATCGAGTCGAGAATTACATCGACGTTAGCGACTAGCGCAAGAATTTAATAAAGTCGACGCATGGTGATTTTCGACGAGGTCACGCATTGCTGCAATTTTTATCATTAAAATCGACGCTTTTTTTACGTAGCTCGACACAGCTGCCGGGAATTTCGCTCCATAATCATTTATAATTTTTTTCTCTCGATCGATCGTCGATGCAATTATTGAATATTTTTCCATTCGCTCCTGTATTTTACTCATTTTTTTTTCACCGTGTCGAGTATTTTGCCATTAAACTTGCGATGTGTCAATCTGTGCTTCCGAGCGAACAGCCTTATTAACTTTTATACGCAGGTAAGTAGGCGCATGTATAGGTAAAGGGCTGTATGCCGAGCAACGCCTCTAAAAGACGTCACGTTTTGTTCTGCAATATTCAGAGGCTCGAGAGCAGCGCAGGAGCTTGCGGGCAGACGCGCGCAAGCGAGCAAAGCTCGGAGGGGAGCGAGCGAGATTCCAGGCAGCAGCATTTCATCAACGATAACCTCGCCTCGGCGGTGGAGCAACGTTAATCAACTAACCGTTCGATGCTCTCAATCGTCTACGAAAAGGTAATCTGCTTAAAGTGGAGTTATTACTCGTCCTTATATTATAATAATGGAAGTACAACGTCTCCATCATTCGCAGTGTGATAGAGGAGCGCTCATTAGTTTCATATCGAGCTCGGGCTCTTCGCTTGCATCTTTCTCCGCGCGTACCCACTTTCGCCTCTATTTTGCTTTTCTCTCAATAATCTGATTATTTAACGTTATAAATTCACACACGATTCTTACTACTATGCGCCGTGTAGTAAATTCAATCTTCTTTTTATAATACTTATAATTAATGCTATTACGATGAAGCTGTAAAGCTAAGCACGTTCAGGGATTTGACGACTATTAAAATAAATCTAATCGGTTTTCTATGAAATTTTTAAAAAAATGTTATGGAAGAAAATATAAGGTAAATTTTTTAAGCTTTAACATTGAAAAAGGTTTTATCTCAATGTAAAATCAATAGTCAGTATAATCGCAATCGAAATTTCTCGTACTTTGTGCGTTTTAGTATAAAAAAGATTTGTATTAAAAATCATAATACCATGAATAGATGACACCATGTAATGATGATGAACCTTGCTGATTATAATTTCTAAAGCCGTATCACTTCAAAAGTATTACAGTTGCAAGATTTTATTATCTTAATAAAATCATATTTAAATTAAATGAGAGCACTCAAGCAGCAATAAATTCTTTGAATTTTAGCTAAAGCGATATGAGGACAAATTTTAAGATTACCCACTAATGCACAATTACTTTTGTGAAGTGATCAATTTCATCACTAACGAACAAACCGCTTAATTATTCAAGGGTTGTTTCATTTAATTTTTATAATAATAATATACATAGTTATTTTAAAAAATTTAACTGGTTAAACTTACTTCTTTGCCAAACGGGTGCACTGGAGGGATTACTGTCTACTTCGCATTTCAAACTGACGGACATCCCTTCAACAATTGGAATCCCGAAACCTGGGATTCTCGTAATCGCAAATGACGGTGTATCTGAAATCAGAGAAGGCAGATCATGAGCAAAAGCAACTTTGAAGCCCTTTCAGAATGTCTGTTTAATCTCTCTAAATGGAATTGGTACTTTTTACGATGAAACATAATATAATTATAAATTTTAATATCTTAATTGTTGGTCTTCTTCAGATACAATTATTTAAACTTTTAACTCTCTGACTTTTCTAGAGTAAAGATTAATGCATCACTGCCTAATAAAAAGCCGATTGATAAATAAGTAAATACAATACATATTTGATGACAGTTCAAGGACCTTAAACTTTTTTTTAAAATAATTTTTCGGCAATCGAGCTATAACATAAACCAAAATTACATACCCGGCTTTAGTCTCGCATATATTTTCACCAAATCTCTGTCCAGCAAAGAGACTTGCCAATCTGAACTTATATTTTAGACTTAGATAAGCACTCTTAGACTTGGACTCTTAGATAAGCCAAGGATGGTACTTATCTGTAGGCCCCTGTTGCCTCTCTTATTTTTGATAAGGCAAGATAGAGAAGGACCACTCTGCGAAGATACAAAGCAAGGAGGTGGAGAAGAAAGAAATAGAGGTTTGAGGAGAAATTCTGAACATTTTATTTTTGCATCTTTATTAAAAAAGGAAAAAAATGCCCACAAGTAAACGCAGAGAGGCCAGCTGAACGAGTACTATGTTTCGTTTCTTGGCTTCAGATAAAACTGCAACTAGTGTATGTCAGTAAAGAAAGAACATTGAAATTAAAAAAGGTATAGAGCCCTTAAAAGCTTTTTTAATGAAACTTCGATTGTAAATACCTTAGACTATAATATAACAGACTGAGAGAAAGAATAAATGAGTCACGAAAGACGCCGAGTCGGAGAGCAGAGAAAAAAAAAGGTACGAGTAGTTGCGAGTCAAGATCGTCGACGGTAGGTTAAACAAGCCATCGACACGGGGGCATCGCGCGCGCGCTTTTACATCCGAGTGCTTTTATGCATCGAGGGACAAACGAGTGCCAGGCGCTTTAAAACTGGTGCAAACGAGGATTAAATTTTTTTTCCTACGAAACTTTTCATCGATCCGCAAACTATCTATAATTTAAACTGCGCGCGAGCGGTGCTAGACATGTGTTCACTTTGCTCGGGTGGCGCGTTATTTGCATATTCGCATATATACATAGTCCCTCTCAACGCTGCGCCTCGCCTATACTAGCGTTGTGTGTACCTCGATTCCCCATACGCGCTCACACACATAATAAAGCTCTGCTTGTGCCCGCAACAATTTGATTGCCTATCCTATCCCCAAAGTTTCTCGAACACGTTCTCCACTGCTGCTACTGCTGCGTACGTGCATAGGACTATCAAACAGCAACTTCGACGCAGCGAGCCGATTCTTTGAGCCCTCGAGATCCGACACACAATACGTATAACATAGAGACTCGTGCAACATTACATCTGGTCGGAAAAGATAGGGCGCGCGCGAGGTAAACATCATCGCGTTACTTTCGCGTAATTTCGCCCAACGCCATCATCAGGGCGCGCGCGCAAAAGCAGGTGTGCGTACGCGCGTACGTATAGAGAAAAATAGAAAAAGGGAAAAAGAGAGCCGGGAACAGAGGCAATGACGCGTCTGCGTGTGTACCCGTGGAAAAAAGACATTAGAGTCAGCGGGTCTGCGGGATACACCGGTAAAGAGTGAAAAGGAAAGAGAGAGAGAGAGAGGGATGCGCACATACACACGCGGTGAAAGAGAGAAAGAGAAAGAAAAAGAGAAAAAGGAAGCCGCAGGCTGCGAAAAAGCCTGAGAAACTGTCGCTGCTGGAATTAGACGCGGTCGTTAGCGCTGATATTAATGTACGAGAAAGAGAGAAAGAGAGTGCGAGTGGAAAAAAACACCAGCGTACCAGTATTCACGTTTGCGGCTAGTTCGCGGGGAATGAGCTTGCGTATGTGTGTGTCTGTGTCTGTGTTTGCGCACGTGTGCGAACGAACGCGTGTCTGCGCGCGGCTTCGCCGTGATAAAGAGCAGCTATTATATCACTCTAGTCAAAGCTTTGCACTCGCGCTCGCACGAGCACACGCACACGCACACGCACACTCGCACATACAACCAGCACAGCTAAACGAGCTTTCTATACGCACGCACATGTATACACGGAGCTCTGTGCTCGTGAGCCAACTTTCGTCGAGTGTAAAAGTTTTTTCGCGTATGCGCGAATTTCACTCTCACTCGTTTTTATATATATATATAACCCTTTGACGCAGGGGCGCGCAGGGTGGCCGGAGTAGCTTATTAAGCCCATACATGCGAGCGTGTGCGCGGGAGGGGCTCTTTGAGAGAGAGAGAGAGAGAGAGCGAGGAACTAGCTCGGCTGTGCTCGGTCCTCCCCGACTTTCAAGTGCAAGTACAGGACTAGACCACCCCTTATTTAAAAACACTCCTGTACATACACGTAAGCGCGCGCGCACGCGTACACGTATACATTATACAAATTTGATAATTGTTAAGTGTGCGGGCCTATTCATGCTGTTTACTCAGAAAAGCGTGTAATTTATGGTATTTTTATTAAAGCATAAGACTGCGCAGAGCACCGAGGGCTTTAATTCATAAAACTCGTGAAAAAATGTAATATAATTAATTACACGTTGCGCCACTTATTAGGGCTAACTAGAGCGAATCTTTTTTGTTTTTTTTTTTTGAATTATTTTGTGTACTCTTTTCGTTACAAAATTGGTACAAAACCGGTAGCGCAACGAGTTCAATGAGAATTTCAATTTTCAATTCAATCGAAGTTTATAGCATGTATAATACGACTCTGTTTAAAGCGAGAATCCAACTGTCAAAACCATTTGTAGCATGCAGCTGCCCATGGAGGTATTATTTTTGCTACAAACTATCAGCCAATCTGAATTTTTGATTAAAACTGCGTCCCGTTGAGTAATCGAATTCGCATCAAAGCTACACACACGCACGCAATTCATGCAGCCAAAAAAAAACAGCCACACGCGTAATTGCAGCCAGAAGAGAAGAAGAAGAGAAAGAGAGAAAGAGGAATCATCAGCTCTGTCACTGCTATCACGGGAGAGGAATGGAAAATATTTCGCACGAAACAAAAGTCTATTATGCAATTGTCGCCCGTAGCCATGCTAATATCATTACAATAGGCAACTTCGTATGTGCGCACGCATACAACAAATAAGTATGGAAGTGTATGTGTGCATGCAGACTGTTTTGCAGCTCGTGAACTATCCGAGTTGAACGAACTCTCTATCGTACACATTTGGAGACACATACACGTACACGTATACGTATACAGTGGCTTATTATTGTCAGTAGCAGACGCAGTTCATACATACAAACATGCTATATGTACAGGTTACGCAACGAATAAATGTCAAACCGCTGCAAAGAGAGAGAGAGAGAGAGAGAGAGGGAGAAAACGAGAGAGACTTGTCACGTTCATTGCTGTGGTTTAGCTTTCACCTTACGGATATCGCAGTTTTGCCTTTGCCTCGTTTGTTTTGTGAACAGCCCAGGCCAGCAGCAGCAACAACAGCAACAGCTACAGGCAGCAAATAATTCGCGACGGGAAAAATATTTGTACACACGAGTGTAGCGCGCGAATTTATACGTCGAAGTTAATATGAATCGATGTAAACATACGCACGTGGGTATATAGCACGTATACGAATTCGTTCGCGGCAAGATTGAAATTCGCCAAAAAATATGTATACTCGCAAGGCGAGAGTATAGATCCTCGCAGACTGCATCGCAAGCTGCCATTACTTTAACGATCGAGTTGAATTATTCGGTTAGCCAAGTTTCGTCGGGGCTCGCAAGCCTCGTGCTCATAGATCGATGCACTCGGCCGCTGCAAAGATACAAGCTGCAGGAGGAGGAGGAGGAGGAGGAGGAGGGCACGAGGCGCAGAGGGTGTATCGGAGCGTGAATGGAAATGCAACCGAAGAGACCGCTAACGATTTGCTCTTGTATTACATGTACGCACAGACGCATTCGCAGGCGGGCTAAATCTGAAATGCAAATCGAGCAATACTCTCGGCTTGTGCGCCTCTCTGCTGTATACACGGCGTATCGTAGCTATGGGTGTACCCCTACACTTACACATTCACGTGAGATATATGCACCTGGGCGCAACGGAGGTCCGACACCTATAGGCCACAGTAGTGCATGTGCATGTGGCGGGCGTGTGTATAGACGCGGCTGCAGTCCTCTCTGTACGTGCTAGCTAGCTCGCATTCATGCGGCCCCGTCGTACTTTCTCGGACGCCCATGGCTTTCCGCTGCTGACTCTCTCGGAGATAGGTGTATAGGTATAAGCTACGATCGCCGCGCATGTTGCGTTGGTAGTAGTGCGATGTGCTCGGCATGCATCGCGGTCGCCCTTGTCATGTCGTCGGAGGCATCAGTCAATCGGGCTCTTTCCCGGCTCACTCTGTACCCGAGCTTCCGTGTCTCCGTGTGATTTTTTTTTTGCGTTTGTGTAGTCCACCAGTGATAGTTGCGCGCGTACGAACAATCGTTACGCTTTACACGCATTCAAGAGGCTGCTCTGTCGATTGCGACACGTTTTTACTTTTTTATGTTAAACGAGCTTGCGCTTTTTAATCTTTTTAGATTCTTACGTTATGACTTCGTGAATGAACAATGCTTGTTTCGATTCGTTACGTTATACATTTTATTATATTGCGTGGAAAAATGTTATGCTATCGATGTAAATTGAGCTTCTTCTCGTTCCTGATTCACTTACCGTTTTCTATTGTGAAAACAGTAACTATATGGGTTGAGCAGACTAATATTCTCATCTCAATTGCCCACAAGTTCTTCGTCAAATGTATATAAGCCTCTGAAAATGCCCGATGTACTGTTTTGAAAATGTCTAACTTACTCTTTGATTAATTTCAAGACTATTTTGATCTTGACAATTTTTTCCGAAAGTCTAAATATATTACAGAATAGTTTCGCGTTAATAGAATATGTACTTGCTTTGTTGTAAATCATT